ATTTCAGCTCATGAAACATGGTACCAACACTTTACATGTTGCATTTATATTTTTGTTCAGTGTATATAAAAAAATAAACATATTTGTTTTCAATGTTTTTATTAATATCGCTAGCAACAACAGACTAAAATAATTTTGAATGACATACCTACAGTAGAACAGAGGGGAATATAAGTTATTTCTAATGATGTCAACTCCTAATATTGAGCAAATTACACTCAGTGGAGCTAATTACACTCACTGGAGTATCTGACAGGCTTTGAAAAAGCACCCGTGAGTACCAGTCATGGCAAGTGACGCTTCATTTTTGCAAACACATTGTTAACCTATGATTAACCAGCTAAACAGCTGCTATTGGCAAACGTGTTTGGAGTAGGACTGGGGAAATTATTGTATAATTATCGTCTTAAAGAGATTCTCTAGTACTTTTGTATACTTTTTAGCCAGTAGTTCTGAAAGTAGCACTCACGGGCCAAAAGTGGTCCCCGAAAATTGCATATACAGCTGCGGAAAAAATTAAGAGACCACTGCAAAATTATCCGTTTCTCTGGTTTTACTATTTATAGTTATGTGTTTGGGTAAAAATAACATTTTTGTTTTATTCTATAAACATTTCTCCCAAATTCCCAAAAAATAATATTGAAATTTAGAGCATTTATTTGCAGAAAATGACAACTGGTCAAAATAACAAAAAAGATGCAGTGTTGTCAGACCTCGAATAATGCAAAGAAAATAAGTTCATGTTCATTTTTAAACAACACAATAGTAATGTTTTAACTTAGGAAGAGTTCAGAAATCAATATTTGGTGGAATAACCCTGATTTTCAATCACAGCTTTCATGCGTCTTGTCATGCTCTCCACCAGTCTTTCACATTGATGTTGGGTGACATTATGCCACTCCTGGCGCAAAAATTCAAGCAGCTCGGCTTTGTTTGATGGCTTTTGACCATCCATCTTCCTCTTGATCACATTCCAGAAGTTTTCAATGGGGTCCAGGTCTGGAGATTGGGCTGGCCATGACAGGGTCTTGATCTGGTGGTCCTCCATCCACACCTTGATTGACCTGGCTGTGTGGCATGGTGCATTGTCCTGCTGGAAAAATCAATCCTCAGAGTTGGGGAACAATGTCAGAGCAAAAGGAAGCAAGTTTTCTTCCAGGACAACCTTGTACGTGGCTTGATTCATGCGTCCTTCACAAAGACAAATCTGCCCGATTCCAGCCTTGCTGAAGCACCCCCAGATCATCACCGATCCTCCACCAAATTTCACAGTGGGTGCGAGACACTGTGGCTTGTAGGCCTCTCCAGGTCTCCGTCTAACCATTAGACGACCAGGTGTTGGGCAAAGCTGAAAATTAGACTCATCAGAGAAGATGACCTTACTCCAGTCCTCTACGGTCCAATCCTTATGGTCTTTTGCAAACCTCAGCCTGGCTCTTCTTTGCTTCTCATTGATGAAGGGCTTTTTTCTAGCTTTGCACGACTTCAGCCCTGCCCCTAGGAGCCTGTTTCGAACCGTCCCCGCCGTGCACTTCACCCCAGCTGCCGTTTGCCATTCTTTTTATAGGTCACTTGATGTCATCCTACGGTTGTTGAGTGACATTCGAATGAGTTGGCGGTCATCCCGGTCAGTAGAGATTCGTTTTCGCCCTCTGCCGGTCTGTAGCTTTGTTGTCCCCAATGTCTGCTGCTTGACCTTGTTCTTATGAACTGCCGTCTTTGAAATTTTAAGGATGGAAGCAACCTGACGCTCACTGTATCCCTCTGCCAGTAAAGCCAGAATTGAACCCTTCTTTTCCTCACTCAAAACATTCCTTTTCAACTCTTTTGGCATTGTCAATAGTTATTTGTTGATTAATATTACTTTTGAGGTACTATTGTAGCACTGTTTTTGCCATCCAGCTGGTCCTATTGCAAGAGGATAGTGATGACCACAAAAGTGGTTTTTATACTTTTCCTCATTAAATAAGATTTGGTTCATGTGATCACCTAATCAGTATCTAATTCAGTAGAATGAGGTGTGGCTGTGTTGGAATTCAACAGACACTGGAATGGCTGTCATACATGTCGAGATGCTGATTTAAGAAAAATTTGCAGGGGTCTCTTAATTTTTCCCACAGCTGTATGTCACATATGTGCACCACGTCATTGCTCTCACTCTGCTGTGTCCACTGAGCTGTTGGGCCTGTCCTGCAACATTTTACTATTTTATTAGATGCTCTTATCCAGAGCAACTTACAGAAGTGATTGCATACATTTTCGTACTGGTCCCCCGTGGGAATCAAACCCTGGCGTTGCAAGCGCCATGCTCTATTAAATGAGGCACACGGGACCATCAACCTCATTTGATAACACTGTGCAGGCCTCTTGCTAGCTTTCGCTCAAATGCGAGGGACTGAAGCTCATTGGCTAGAACTCGAATTGCATGGCACAGCTTCAAGAAAACGGTTGCTTTCAAACTACAGTGGCCTCCATCATTCTTAAATGGAAGAAGTTTGGTACCACCAAGACTCTTCCTAGAGCTGGCTGCCCAGCTAAACTGAGAAATTGGGGAGAAGGGTCTTGGTCAGGGAGGTGACCAAGAACCCGATGGTCACTCTGACAGAGCTCCAGAGTTCCTCTGTGGAGATGGGAGAACTTTTCAGAAGGACAACCATCTCTGCAGGACTCCACCAATCAGGCCTTTATGGTAGAGTGGCCAGATGGAAGCCACTCCTCAGTAAAAGGCATTTGACAGCCCGCTTGGAGTTTGCCGAAAGGACACTCAGCCCGTCATGTCTGGAGGAAACCTGGCACCATCCTTATGGTGAAGCATGGTGGTGGCAGCATCATGCTGTGGGTTTGTTTTTCAGCGGCAGGGACTGGGAGACTAGTCAGGATCGAGGGAAAGATGAATGGAGCAAAGTACAGAGAGATCCTTGATGAAAACCTGCTCCAGAGCGCTCAGGACCTCAGACTGGGGCGAAGGTTAACCTTCCAACAGGACAACGACCCTAAACACACATCCAAGACAACGCAGGAGTGGCTTCTAGACAAGTCTCTGAATGTCCTTGAGTGGCCCAGCCAGAGCCCGGACTTGAACCCGATCGAACATCTCTGGAGACCTGAAAATAGCTAGGCAGCGACGCTCCCCATCCAACATGAAAGAGCTTGAGGATCTGCAGAGAAGAATGGGAGAAACTCCCAAATACATATGTGCCAAGCTTGTAGCGTCATACCCAAGAAGACCCGAGGCCGTAATCGCTGCCAAACGTGCGTCAAATTACTGAGTATGCACTGCATTAATTAGGTACAGTGGGGAAAAAAAGTATTTAGTCAGCCACCAATTGTGCAAGTTCTCCCACTTAAAAAGATGAGAGGCACGTCAACTATGACAGACAAATTGAGAAAAAAAAATCCAGAAAATCACATTGTAGGATTTTTAATGAATTTATTAGCAAATTATGGTGGAAAATAAGTATTGGTCACCTACAAACAAGCAGGATTTCTGGCTCTCACAGACCTGTAACTTCTTCTTTAAGAGGCTCCTCTGTCCTCCACTCGTTACCTGTATTAATGGCACCTGATTGAACTTATCAGTATAAAAGACACCTGTCCACAACCTCAAACAGTCACACTCCAAACTCCACTATGGCCAAGACCAAAGAGCAGTCAAAGGACACCAGAAACAAAATTGTAGACCTGCACCAGGCTGGGAAAACTGAATCTGCAATAGGTAAGCAGCTTGGTTTGAAGAAATCAACTGTGGGAGCAATTATTAGGAAATGGAAGACATACAAGACCACTGATAATCCCCCTCGATCTGGGGCTCCACGCAAGATCTCACCCCGTGGGGTCAAAATGATCACAAGAACAGTGAGCAAGAATCCCAGAACCACACGGGGGGACCTAGTGAATGACCTGCAGAGAGCTGGGACCAAAGTAACAAAGCCTACCATCAGTAACACACTACGCCGCCAGGGACTCAAATCCTGCAGTGCCAGACGTGTCCCCCTGCTTAAGCCAGTACATGTCCAGGCCCGTCTGAAGTTTGCTAGAGTGCATTTGGATGATCCAGAAGAGGATTAGGAGAATGTCATATGGTCAGATGAAACCAAAATAGAACTTTTTGGTAAAAACTCAACTCGTCGTGTTTGGAGGACAAAGAATGCTGAGTTGCATCCAAAGAACACCATACCTACTGTGAAGCATGGGGGTGGAAACATCATGCTTTGGGGCTGTTTTTCTGCAAAGGGACCAGGTCGACTGATCCGTGTAAAGGAAAGAATGAATGGGGCCATGTATTGTGAGAATTTGAGTGAAAACCTCCTTCCATCAGCAAGGGCATTGAAGATGAAACGTGGCTGGGTCTTTCAGCATGACAATGATCCCAAACACAACGCCCGGGCAACGAAGGAGTGGCTTCGTAAGAAGCATTTCAAGGTCCTGGAGTGGCCTAGCCAGTCTCCAGATCTCCACCCCATAGAAAATCTTTGGAGGGAGTTGAAAGTCTGTGTTGGCCAGCGACAGCCCCAAAACATCACTGCTCTAGATGAGATCTGCATGGAGGAATGGGCCTCACCAAATACTTATTTTCCACCATAATTTGCAAATAAATTCATTAGAAATCCTACAATGTGATTTTCTGGAGGAAAAAATGCTCAATTTGTCTGTCATAGTTGACGTGTACCTATGATGAAAATTACAGGCCTCTCATCTTGTTAAGTGGGAGAACTTGCACAATTGGTGGCTGACTAAATACTTTTTTCCCCCCACTGTATAAGGAACCTTAAGTAATTTATTTCCGGAATTGACCCCAACCCTAGCCTTATATCAGCTACTTAAGATTAGCATCTACCATGCTAAACTTCTACCCCTAGCCACACGTTAAAACACTTAGCAAAACAATGAATCAGAGAACTGCATGTTATATTGAGAATGTTTTTATTCAAAGTTTATTCCCCCCCCAAGTGCTTCCGGTTGGTCGGCCTTAGCCCAGCGTGTGCCGGGGAAGGGCAGAGGGTGGTGCTTGATGATGGTGAGTAACATTGCCATGCCAACACTAGGGCGGTGTCTTACAGTGAAACTAGAGAACCACACGACTTCACCATGTTTGTATTTCTTTCCGTTTTAAAACAAGCGAAACAAAAAAATAGAGTTCAAAAATAAAAAATAAATCTGCAACGGGATTTTACAGTAAAGGGGCCAAACTCAGACAACTTCCTACCACGCGGGGGGGGGGGGGGGGGGGGGGTGAGAGATCATAGGTAACAGGTTAAAGGTCATCATCTTCATCTGGGAGCGCTGTTTCTGATGCAACCTGGAGAGGGTGGAGAAAGTGAATAACGGTTAGGACGATACATAACAAAAGACATTGATATATGTAATAATCTAGCCAATCTAATCCAATTTCATCTGATAACATTTGACAGTCTGGTCTCTATGCAGTCAATATACCCGTGCTGGGCCACTGTGGTTCTACTCACTTTGAGGTCGTGCTCGTACTGCGCGGCGAGAGAGGGGTCCATGAGGATCTCTGGGGGGGCGAGGGCGGGCATGGCCACAAACTCCAGGTTGGGGTCTCCAATCAGCTTCCGCGCTAGCCACAGGAAGGGCTTCTCAAAGTTGTAATTACTCTTAGCAGAGATGTCGTAGTACTGAGAGAGAGGAGGGGGGGGGGGGGGGGGGGGGTCACAAATGTTGCTTATTTACCCATTATTTCATCAGGGCAAGTCTTTCAGTTTGCACAGAAACCCAAATACACTGCATAAGAACAGTCTACTGTACTAAAGTGTAATAATTACCTGGAGGTTCTTCTTGCGATGGAATACGATGCTCTTGGCTTTGACTTTCCTGTCTTTGATGTCCACCTTGTTGCCGCAGAGGACTATGGGAATGTTCTCACAGACACGCACCAGATCACGATGCCAGTTGGGTACGTTCTTGTAGGTGACTCGAGATGTGACGTCAAACATGATGATCGCACACTGGGCTGGAGAGTGGAAGGTGAGAGTACAAAGTAGGAGTGGAGAGAAAAGAGAAAGGCACAGATGGAGTGAAGAGTCAAAGAAAGCAAGAGAAGGATATAGAAAGGGAGAGTCACAACATGAATCTACTCAACACAGCATCCTTAGAGGGGGCAGTGGTTACCCATTGTTAGAATAGCTATTGTCATTCATTAGAGTTCCTGGCCCTGGAGGGCACAACTTCTTCTGGTGTCAAATGGGCTATCAGAAGTACTCTGCTTCAGGGCAAGGTTAACAATGGGTGCAGGACTTTAGCCATTGGTTATAAGAACTTGCCATTGACCTTCCATACAAAGCTCTGTATGCAAGTATTTTAGTAGAGCACAGAGTTCTTCCTCCTGGTCATGAAAAACTCCAGGATAAGCTAATAAGCACTGTTTTATACCATACCTTGGATGTAATAGCCGTCTCGGAGCCCTCCAAACTTCTCCTGCCCGGCTGTGTCCCACACGTTGTATTTGATGGCCCCTCTGTTAGTGTGGAAGACCAGCGGGTGCACCTCCACCCCCAACGTGGCTAGAAGGAAGGAAAGGGGAGAGAAGAGGGGAAACACAACAGGAGAAATGAGGGAGGGGAGAGATTGCAGGAAATAAGGGAGAGTTAGGTGGAGGGAGAATGGGAAAGAAGAGAAAGGGACAGTTTTACAAGACAGGTCCTAAGAGGCTAGAATGGTGTCTGTGTTTCACTGTGTCACACGCTTTCTGCACATTGCTATTTACATTTAAGTCATTTAGCAGACACTCTTATCCAGAGCGACTTACAAATAGGTGCATTCAACTTAGGATAGCCAGTGGGACAACCACCCCCTGCCCCTTTTATTTTTATTTTTTATGGGGGGTGTGGGGGTTAGAAGGATTACTGTTATACTATTCCAGGTATTCCTTAAAGAGGTGGATGAACGTAGTGCCCTCGTTTGGGTCTAAGGTCTGATCAGAGCCTGAAGGTAAGGAGGTGCCGTTCCCCTCACAGCTCCGTAGGCAAGCACCATGGTTTTGTAGTAGATGCAAGCTTCAACTGGAAGCCAGTGGAGTGTGCAGAGGAGCGGGGTGATATGAGAGAACTTGGGAAGTTTGAACACCAGACGGGCTGCAGCGTTCTGGATAAGTTGTAGGGGTTTAATGGCACAGGCAGGGAGCCCAGCCAACAGCGAGTTGCAGTAATCCAGACGGGAGATGACAAGTGCCTGGATTAGGACCTGTGCCGCTTTCTGTGTAAGGTAGGGTCATACTCTGCGAATGTTGTAGAGCATGAACCTGCAGGATCGGGTCACCGCTTTGATGATAGCGGAGAAAGCTATCTGATGCCTCCATCCAACCTTTCATATAGGAGGCATCTGCACCCTGACAGTTGAATCTGCCACCATGGCTCCCTCCCAATGCCTAAAACTCTGATTAAGCGTTATACAGTATGAAAAAATGTATGGGGGGGGGGGGGAATGTATGCACTCACTAACTGTAAGTCGCTCTGGTAAGAGCGTCTGCTAAATGACTAAAATGCAAAACTATTACAGGCTGTGTTCAGAGGCCTAGCACCCATTTATCATCCCATGTGGCTGTGTTCTCACTATAAATTGTGTGTTGTTGGTTTAAGTAATTACATGCCAATTGGAGTGACTTACCAACATATTTCTTCTCAAACTCTCCCGTCAAATGTCTTTTGACGAAAGTGGTCTTTCCTGTTCCTCCATCGCCAACCAACACAAGCTGAGAGGAATAGAAGTTGAAACATGGGTGGAAACAGCAGCTAGTTACCCATGACCAAACTCAAAATATAATCCTGCTTCATGTTCTAAAACCGTAGACGTCTGAGATATAATAGCCCTCACCTTGAACTGGACCTGTGGCTCGCCTTCTGCCATTGTTAAATGTGTTGTGGTTTTTGATGTTCTCCTAAAAACAGGACAGGGCGCAGTAATGGTTAGCTAGTTACATAACCTGGGTAGCTGGGTTAACTAACTAGCTACAGAGTTAACTGGTTTGCTAACTAGTTGGTAATGATGGGATCGCTAAACTGCAGCAAACTTTCGACATATCGAGACAGCAGCACGCGCCCAGGAACTAGCTAACAAACAAGTAACCTCGCTAGTTAACGCTTGTTTTAGGGCGGTTTTAATTCTAGCAACTTCTTCCAAATCCATTGCATATTTTCCGACATTTGACAACACGATATTAAAACGTGTAAACAATCAGATGATTACAATCGAAATGCAGTTATATGCCTTCTAAATGAAATATTCATCAGTGTTTTATTTGATGTACCTAGTACAGCATGCATTTTTAACGCAGAGGATGGCTAGCTAACAGTTAGCATTTGATGAGTGCGCCACTGATTCAGCAGGCTGCCGCACTTTTCTAGTTTCGACTGGAACAATGTCTGTGCAGCGCTAAAATCTGTCCCCGTTTAGCTAGCTAACAGGCTAAGTAAACGTTTGTTGTGTAAAAACTAACTCAGTCTCAAAGCACACAACTGGTAGAATCTGTTATTTGTATGGACAATAACAATAGATAGCGAAACATCCTCAATCACAGAAACAGAACACATTTTTTTTAAAGTCTCGAAATCCAGTTAGTTAGCATTTCGCAAAGCTAACGTTCGCTGCAAGCTAACATGGTCTTGAAAATCAATAAAATGGTCTAATAACTCCGCATATTATCAAAATATTTACTAAACTGAGTGTATAAGTACACCAATAACGTTCGTTAGTGTCTCCAATGAAACCCATTTTATTCACAATGATTAAAAATTGAATTTAGACAAGCTTCACATCAGGAAAAATGTTTAGACTCACCGCCGTTGAAACGAAGAGGAAAAGAGTAAATGGCTGCGTTCGCGGGAGATTCAGCGTGGATCAGTCAGTTTCCGCCCATGTCATGTGATCAACGCCAGCAATACAACGCTTTTGTTACAACTCCCGATGATTTCATACACGTACAGATGTAGGATCTTAATTTGAGCCAGTTTGCTAGAGCAGGAAAATAATCCTGCAGCAACATGAAATGTTTATTATGCCGATAATGATGAATGGACATTTTTGTAGGTGTTGACACATTTTTCATTAGGGCAAATCAAGCTACAGTATCTACAGTGCCAAGCTATCACTTTTTAACTTCTTCCAAAAGTGGATGAAGAGTACACAAAGAGGCCTTCAGAACATAATTTATTTTCTTCATACAAATACATAACCTACAATTTCATCTACAGTTATAATACTTAAAAGTTTTTGTTAATGACAAAATGTGCATGAGGTATACACTGATCAAATAATGATTAATGTACAATTTGTGTGTGCACTTTTACACTTGTGTTTATTTGCCTTTGACAATAGGCCTACTGGCTCTCTCTGTTAAAAGTATGATCTATTGCTTTGTTTGTGTAATATTAATTGACATTAGATTGTCTTAATGTTTACGGTATGCATAGTATATGTAGTTAGGTTGGTTTGCCAGTACGATGGTCTATCTATAGAGGTAGTCTGCATGTATGTTGGCAGCAATCTCTGACTCCCACTGATCTCCATTGTTCAGTAGCTTCTCTTTGTTGTACAGCAACTCCTCGTGGGTCTCCGTGGCAAACTCAAAGTTTGGACCCTGAAGGACATGAAAGAGAGAAATAAGTCCAGAAAGCCCTAGAATACTCCAGAAGTTCTGGAATAGGCTACTGAATGTTCTGTTTTAGAAGTTGACAAGCTGAGAGAAAGAAAGAGATATTTTCCTCAGATTATTTTCCTTTTTGTAATTTAACTTTTTGCACATCATTACAACATGGTACATAGCCATAATTTGAAATGTTTCTATTCCTTTGAAACTTTTGTGAGTACTGTTTACTGTTTTTGATTGTATTTTTCACTTTGGTTTATTATCTATTTCAATTGCTTTGGCAATGTAAACATGTTTCCCATCCCAATAAAGCCCATTGAATTGAAAGAAAGAAAGAGAGATGGGTTGTCAGCTGTTTACCTCCACAATAGCATCAACAGGGCAGGCCTCCTGGCAGAAGCCACAGTAGATGCACTTGGTCATGTCGATGTCGTAGCGAGTGGTCCTCCTGCTACCATCTGCACGTGTCTCAGCCTCAATGGTAATGGCCTGGGGCAGACAAGGGGCAGCAGAGAGAGGACATAATGAGCAGGAGGAGGGAATGTAAACCATGTGAACTCTATGGGGACTTAACTGGTCTTTGTAGGGGTTACCTGGTTGGGGTAGCATTCCATAGTAAAGTATATGAAGTTACCTATACCCTGGGTACTGTTGTGAACTGCAGGTACATACAAGCAGGTATTACTGATGTATAGGCCTATTTACAGAAGTTTGTAGTACTAGTGTGTATAGTGACCAGGGCATTGAGGGCAGTGTAGTGCATTGCCAGTGCCAGTGTGTGTATAGGGTGCCAGTGTGTGTATAGGGTACAGTAGGTGTGTATAGGGTCACCTGGGCAGGGCAGACAGCCTCACACAGCTTGCAGGCGATACAACGTTCCTCTCCGTTGGGGTACCGGCGCAGAGCGTGTTCACCACGGAAACGAGGAGACAGGGGACCCTTCTCAAATGGGTAGTTGATGGTAGCGGGCTCGCGGAAAAGGTAACTCATAGTCATCCCCAATCCTGGAGGAGTATGGGAAGACAGGTAAAGGAATGTTATAGAATCTATTAAACAAGAGACAAAATTCACAAATTCTACAGCACAACCGCAGAGTAATGTCTTAAGTGTAAAACTAATTCATGCCTTTTGGTAGAGCTATAAAGTCCGAAAGTTATGGGCAGAGTTAGAAAACTGTCTGTCAGTTTTACAATGTAAATGTACTTTTAATCCGTCTATCTGCCTCTTCCATCAATCCTATTAGCCAATCTGGACCCCTACAAATCATCTGGGCTAGACAATCTGGACCCTTTCTTTCTAAAATTAGCCGCCGAAATTGTCGCAACCTCTATTACTAGCCTGTTCAACCTCTCTTTCGTAACGTCTGAGATCCCCAGAGATTGGAAAGCTGCCGCGGTCATCCCCCTCTTCACAGGGGGTGACACTCTAGATCCAAACTGTTACAGACCTATATCCATCCTGCCCTGCCTTTCGAAAGTTTTTGAAAGCCAAGTTAACAAAACAGATCACTGACCATTTCGAATCCCAACGTACCTTCTCCGCTATGCAATCCGGTTTCCGAGCTGGTCATGGGTGCACCTCAGCCACGCTCAAGGTCCTAAACGATATTATAACCGCGATCGATAATAGACAGTACTGTGCAGCCGTCTTCATCGACCTGGCCAAGGCTTTCGACTGTCAACCACCGCATTCTTATTGGCAGACTAAATAGCCTTGGTTTCTCAAATGACTGCCTCGCCTGGTTCACCAACTACTTCTCAGATAGAGTTCAATGTGTCAAATCGGAGGGCCTGTTGTCTGGACCTATGGCAGTCTCTATGGGGGTACCACAGGGTTCAATTCTTGGGCCGACTCTTTTCTCCGTGTATATCAATGATGTCGCTCTTGCTGCTGGTGACTCTCAGATCCACCTCTACGCAGACGACACCATTTTGTATACATCTGCCCCTTCATTGGACACTGTGTTAACAAACCTCCAAAACGAGCTTCAATGCCATACAACACTCCTTCAGTAGCCTCCAACTGCTCTTAAACACTAGTAAAACTAAATGCATGTTCTTCAATCGAACGCTGCTGGCACCCGCTCACCCGACTAGAATCACTACTCTCGACGGGTCTGACCTAGAGTAGGTGGACAACTACAAATACCTAGGTGTCTGGTTAGACTGTTAACAATCCTTCCAGAATCAAATTAAGCATCTCCAATCCAAAGTTAAATCTAGAACCGGCTTCCTATTTTGCAACAAAGCCTCCTTCACTCATGCTGCCAAACATGCCCTCGTAAAACTGACTATCCTACCGATCCTTGACTTCGGCGATGTCATTTACAAAATAGCCTCCAACACTCTACTCAGCAAATTGGATGTAGTCTATCACAGTGCCATCCGTTTTGTCACCAAAGCCCTATATACTACCCACCACTGTGACCTGTACGCTCTTGTTGGCTGATCCTCACTACATATTCGTCGCCAAACCCACTGGCTCCAGGCCATCTATAAATCACTGCTAGGCAAATCCCAGCCTTATCTTAGCTCATTGGTCACCATAGCAACACCCATCAGTAATATGCGCTCCAGCAGGTATATCTCACTGGTCATCCCCAAAGCCAACACCTCCTTTGGCCACCATTCCTTTCAGTTCTCTGCTGCCAATGACTGGAACTAATTGCAAAAATCTCTGAAGCTGGAGACTCTTATGTCCCTCACTAACTTTAAGCATCAGTTGTCAGAGCACCTTACCGATCACTACACCTGTACACAGCCCATCTGAAATTAGCCCACCCAACTACCTCATCCCCATATTGTAATTTATTTTGCTAATTTGCACCCCAGTATCTCTATTTGCACATCATCTCTTGCACATCTATCATTCCAGTGTTAATACTAATTGTAATTATTTTGCACTATGGCCTATTTATTGCCTTACCTCCATAACTTCCTACATTTGCACACACTGTACAGTGGGGAAAAAGTATTTAGTCAGCCACCAATTGTGCAAGTTCTCCCACTTAAAAAGATGAGAGGACTGTAATTTTCATCATAGGTACACGTCAACTATGACAGACAAATTGAGAAATGTTTTTCCAGAAAATCACATTGTAGGATTTTTAATGAATTTATTTGCAAATTATGGTGGAAAATAAGTATTTGGTCACCTACAAACAAGCAAGATTTCTGGCTCTCACAGACCTGTAACTTCTTCTTTAAGAGGCTCCTCTGTCCTCCACTCGTTACCTGTATTAATGGCACCTGTTTGAACTTGTTATCAGTATAAAAGACACCTGTCCACAACCTCAAACAGTCACACTCCAAACTCCACTATGGCCAAGACCAAAGAGCAGTCAAAGGACACCAGAAACAAAATTGTAGACCTGCACCAGGCTGGGAAGACTGAATCTGCAATAGGTAAGCAGCTTGGTTTGAAGAAATCTCCCTCGATCTGGGGCTCCACGCAAGATCTCACCCCGTGGGGTCAAAATGATCACAAGAACGGTGAGCAAAAATCCCAGAACCACACAGGGGGACCTAGTGAATGACCTGCAGAGAGCTGGGACCAAAGTAACAAAGCCTACCATCAGTAACACACTACGCCGCCAGGGACTCAAATCCTGCAGTGCAAGACGTGTCCCCCTGCTTAAGCCAGTACATGTCTAGGCCCGTCTGAAGTAATAAGTATTTGGTCAATAACAAAAGTTTCTCAATACTTTTATATACCCTTTGTTGGCAATGACACAGGTCAAACGTTTTCTGTAAGTCTTCACAAGGTTTTCACACACTGTTGCTGGTATTTTGGCCCATTCCTCCATGCAGATCTCCTCTAGAGCAGTGACGTTTTGGGGCTGTCGCTGGGCAACACAGACTTTCAACTCCCTCCAAAGATTTTCTATGGGGTTGAGATCTGGAGACTGGCTAGGCCACTCCAGGACCTTGAAATGCTTCTTATGAAGCCACTCCTTCGTTGCCCGGGCGGTGTGTTTGGGATCATTGTAATGTTGAAAGACCCAGCCACGTTTCATCTTCAATGCCCTTGCTGATGGAAGGAGGTTTTCACTCAAAATCTCACGATACATGGCCCCATTTATTCTTTCCTTTACACGGATCAGTCGTCCTGGTCCCTTTGCAGAAAAACAGCCCCAAAGCATGATGTTTCCACCACCATGCTTCACAGTAGGTATGGTGTTCTTTGGATGCCTGGCGGCGTAGGGTGTTACTGATGGTAGGCTTTGTTACTTTGGTCCCAGCTCTCTGCGGGTCATTCACTAGGTCCCCCCGTGTGGTTCTTGTGATCATTTTGAACCCACGGGGTGAGATCTTGCGTGGAGCCCCAGATCGAGGGAGATTATCAGTGGTCTTCTATGTCTTCCATTTCCTAATAATTGCTCCCACAGTTTATTTCTTCAAACCAAGCTGCTTACCTATTGCAGATTCAGTCTTCCCAGCCTGGTGCAGGTCTACAAGTTCAAACAGGTGCCATTAATACAGGTAACGAGTGGAGGACAGAGGAGCCTCTTAAAGAAGAAGTTACAGGTCTGTGAGAGCCAGAAATCTTGCTCCTTGTAGGTGACCAAATACTTATTTTTCACCATAATTTGCAAATAAATTCATTAAAAATACTACAATCTGATTTTCTGGATTTTTTTTCTCATTTTGTCTGTCATAGTTGACGTGTACCTATGATGAAAATTACAGGCCTCTCATCTTTTTAAGTGGGAGACCTTGCACAATTGGTGGCTGACTAAATACTTTTTTTCCCCACTGTATATATATTTTCTGTTGTATTTTTTGACTGTTTTGTTTATCCCATATGTAAGTCTGTGTTGTTGTTTTTATTGCATTGCTTTGCTTTATCTTGGCCAGGTCGCAGTTGTAAATGAGAACTTGTTCTCAACTGACTTACCTGGTTAAATAAAAAAATAAAGTTCAATCATTTGAAAATAAATTAGACGACCAACAGGACATTAAAAACTGTAATATCTTATGTTTCACCGAGTCATGGCTGAACGACGACATGGATAACATACAGCTGGCGGGATATACGCTACATTGGCAGGATAGAATGGCTGACTCCGGTAAGACAAGGGGTGGCGGTCTGTGTGTATTTGTAAACAGCTGGTGCATCAAATCTAATACAAAGGAAGTCTCTAGGTTTTGCTCGCCTGAGGTACAGTATCTCATGATAAGCTGTAGACCACACTATTTACCAAGATAGTTTTTATCTATATTTTTAATAGCTTTCTATTTACCACCACAAACCGATGCAGGCACTAAGATTGCACTCAATTAGCTGTATAAGGCCATAAGTAAACAGCAAAACGTTCATCCGGAGGCAGCGCTCCTAGTGGCCGGGGACTTTAATGCAGGGAAACTGAAATCCGTTCTACCTAATTTCTACCAGCATGTTAAATGTGCAACCAGAGGGGGAAAAAAAACTCTAGACGTCTTTTACTCTACACACAGAGACGCGTACAAAGCTCTCCCTCACCCTCCATTTGGCAAATCTGACCATAACTCGACCCTCCTGATTCCTGCTTATAAGCAAAAACTAAAGCAGGAAGCACCATTGACTCGTTAAGGAAGTGTTCAGATGACACAGATGCTAAGCTACAGGACTGTTTTGCTAGCACAGACTGGAATATGTTCCAGGATTCATCCGATAGCATTGAGTACACCACATCAGTCACTGGTTTCATCAATAAATGCATCGATGACGTCATCCCCACAGTGACCGTACGTACATACCCCAACCAGAAGCTATGGATTACAGGCAACATCCGCACTGAGCTAAAGGGTAGAGCTGCTGCTTTCAAGGAGCGGGACTCTAACCCGGACGTTTATAAGAAATCCCGCTATGCCCTCCGACGAACCATCAAACAGGCAAAGAGTCAATACAGGACTAAGATTGGATCGTACTACACCGGCTCTGACGCTCGTCGGATGTGGCAGGGCTTGAAAACTATTACAGACTACAAAGGTAAGCACAGCCGCGAGCTGCCAGTGACACAAGCCTACCAGACGAGCTAAATCACTTCTATGCTCGCTTCGAGGCAAGCAACACTGAAGCATACATGAGAGCATCAGCTGTTCCGGGTGACTATGTGATCAAGCTCTCTGTAGCCGAAGCCGATTTAAGCAGGTCAACATTCACAAGGCCGCAGGGCCAGATGGATTACCAGGACGTGTACTCCGAGCATGCGCTGACCAACTGGCAAGTGTCTTCACTGACATTTTCAACATGTCCCTGACTGAGTCTGTAATACCAACATGTTTCAAGCAGACCACCATAGTCCCTGTGCCCAAGAACACCAAGATAACCTGCCTAAATGACTACCGACCCATAGCACTCACGTCTGTAGCCATGAAGTGCTTTGAAAGGCTGGTCATGGCTCACATCAACAGCATTATCCCAGAAACCCTAGACCCACTCCAATTTGCATACCGCCCCAACAGATCCACAGATGACGCAATCTCTATTGCACTCCACACTGGCCTTTCCCACCTGGACAAGAGGAACACCTACGTGAGAATGCTATTCATTGACTACAGCTCAGCGTTCAACACCATAGTGCCCTCAAAGCTCATCACTAAGCTAAGGACCCTGGGACTAAACACCTCCCACTGCAACTGACGGGCCGCCCCCAGGTGGTAATGGTAGGTAACAACACATCTGCCACGCTGATCCTCAACACGGGGGCCCCTCAGGGGTGCATGCTCAGTCCCCTCCTGTACTCCCTGTTCACCCATGACTGCATGGCCAGGCACGACTCCAACACCATCATTAAGTTCGCCGACAACACAACAGTGGTAGGCCTGATCACAGACAATGATGAGACAGCCTATAGGGAGGAGGTCAGAGACCTGGTCGTGTGGTGCTAGGATAACAACCTCTCCCTCAACGTAATCAAGACAAAGGAGATGATCGTGGACTACATGAAAATAATGTGGAATGAGCACGCCCTCTTTCTCATCGACGGGGCTGTAGTGGAACAGGTTGAGAGCTTCAAGTTCCTTGGTGTCCACATCATCAACAAACTATCATGGTCAAACACACCAAGACAGTCGTGAAGAGGGCACGACAAAGACTATTCCCCCTCAGGAGACTGAAAGGATTTGGCATGGGTCCTCAGATCCTCAAAAAGTTATACAGCTGCACCATCGAGAGCATCCTGACTGGTTGCATCACCGCCTGGTATGGCAACTGCTCGGCCTCCGACCGCAAGGCACTACAGAGGGTAGAGCGTACGGCCCAGTACATCACTGGGGCCAAGCTTCCTGCCATCCAGGACCTCTATACCAGGCGGTGTCAGAGGAAGGCCCTAAAAATTATCAAAGACTCCAGCCACCCTAGTCATTGACTGTTCTCTCTGCTACCGCACGGCAAGTGGTACCGGAGCGCCAAGTCTACAGTGAGGGGAAAAAAGTATTTGATCCCCTGCTGATTTTGTACGTTTGCCCACTGACAAAGACATGATCAGTCTATAATTTTAATGGTAGGTTTATTTGAACAGTGAGAGACAGAATAACAACAATAAAATCCAGAAAAACACATTTCAAAAATGTTATAAATTAATATGCATTTTAATGAGGGAAATAAGTATTTGACCCCTCTGCAAAACATGACTTAGTACTTGGTGGCAAAACCCTTGTTGGCAATCACAAAGGTCAGACGTTTCTTGTAGTTGGCCACCAGGTTTGCACACATCTCAGGAGGGATTTTGTCCCACTCCTCTTTGCAGATCATCTCCAAGTCATTAAGGTTTCGAGGCTGACGTTTGGCAACTCGAACCTTCAGCTCCCTCCACAGATTTTCTATGGGATTAAGGTCTGGAGACTGGCTAGGCCACTCCAGGTCCTTAATGTGCTTCTTCTTGAGCCACTCCTTTGTTGCCTTGGCCGTGTGTTTTGGGTCATTGTCATGCTGGAATACCCATCCACAACCCATTTTCAATGCCCTGGCTGAGGGAAGGAGGTTCTCATCCAAGATTTGACGGTACATGGCCCCGTCCATCGTCCCCTTTGATACGGTGAAGTTGTCATGTCCCCTTAGCTGAAAAACACCCCCAAAGCATAATGTTTCCACCTCCATGTTTGACGGTGGGGATGGTGTTCTTGGGGTCATAGGCAGCATTCCTCCTCCTCCAAACACGGCGAGTTGAGTTGATGCCAAAGAGCTCAATTTTGGTCTCATCTGACCACAACACTGTCACCCAGTTCTCCTCTGAATCATCCAGATGTTCATTGGCAAACTTCAGACGGCCCTGTATATGTGCTTTCTTGAGCATGGGGACCTTGCGGGCGCTGCAGGATTTCAGTCCTTCACGGCGTAGTGTGTTACCAATTGTTTTCTTGGTGACTATGGTCCCAGCTGCCTTGAGATCATTGACAAGATCCTCCCGTGTAGTTCTGGGCTGATTCTTCACCGTTCTCATGATCATTGCAACTCCACAAGGTGAGATCTTGCATGGAGCCCCAGGCCGAGGGAGATTGACAGTACTTTTGTGTTTTTTCCATTTGCGAATAATCGCACCAACTGTTGTCACCTTCTCACCAAGCTGCTTGGTGATGGTCTTGTAGCCCATTCCAGCCTTGTAGGTCTACAATCTTGTCCCTGACATCCTTGGAGAGCTCTTTGGTCTTGGCCATGGAGGAGAGTTTGGAATCTGATTGATTGATTGCTTCTGTGGACAGGTGTCTTTTATATAGGTAACAAACTGAGCTCAGCTCATTACCTGTATAAAAGACACCTGGGAGCCAGAAATCTTTCTGATTGAGAGGGGGTCAAATACTTATTTCCCTCATTAAAATGCAAATCAATTTATAACATTTTTGACATGCGTTTTTCTGGATTATTTTGTTGTTATTCTGTCTCTCACTGTTCAAATAAACCTACCATTAAAATTATAGACTGATCATTTCTTTGTCAGTGGGCAAACGTACAAAATCAGCAAGGGATCAAATACTTTTTTCCCCTCACTGTAGGTCCAAAATGCTTCTACCCCCAAGCCATAAGCCTCCTGAACAGCTAATCATGGCTACCCGGACTATTTGCATTGCCACCCCATCCCCCTCTTTTACGCTGCTGCTACTCTGTTTATTATCTATACATAGTCACTTTAACTCTACCCACATGTACATATTACCTCAATTACCTCGACTAACTGGTGCCCCCGCACATTGACTCTGTACCGGTACCCCCTGTATATAACCTCCGTACTGTTATTTTATTTTACTGCTGCTCTTTAATTATTTGCCATTTTAATTTTTTTCTTAAACTGCATTGTTGGTTAAGGGCTTGTAAGCATTTCACTGTAATGTCTACACCGGTTGTATTCGGCGAATGTGGCAAATAACATTTGATTTGCTTTGATTTGTCTATTGGCATACTTCAAGACATGGTATATGGGTTAGACAATATTATTTTTGTCACATATTGAAGAAGCTATTACTTAAATACTGGGAGTCAAATGATACTCCACCATTAAGAGAATGGAAGAATCGAATGCTTTATTATTTAAATATAGAAAAAAAATCTGCCTACAGACAGAAACAACATAACACAATTTGAAGTCATAGGGGGCAGTCTTACAAGTATTAGAAACAACATAGGGTGTGGATACAGTGGGAATGTGAGTCTGAGCAAATGTGATGTCATTAATGTTTGTGGAAATGTATTTAAAACGTTAAGTTGTTTATTGTTTTTGTCTATGTAAATTCCACAAATAGTAAAATAAAATACAAAAAATAATGTAATTCAGGCCTTCGGTGTGTGTGTCACCTCTGAAGAGCTCTGTCCACAGGAGAGTCTGAGCAGCTCGGTCTGTGATGGACCTCATATCAAGGGGAAGCTCTTTGGCATTCACATACTCTACACACACACAGACAAACAGACAGACACAGAGAGAGAGGAAGAGAGGCAAATAATACGAAAGGAAAGGGAGATACCTAGTCAGTTGTACAACTGAATGCATTCAACCCAAATGTGTCTTCCACATTTAACCCAACCCCTCTGAATCAGAGAGGTGCGGGGGGCTGCCTTAAATCAGAAACACAATCAAATGAGTAATTACTGCTAAATTTCAACATTTGTGTTACTTACTGTACATCCCTCTCTGTACACTGAGGCTGAAGTGTCGAACCAAGGCAGGGCTGTTGACTCCAAAGGTGCCTAACGAAGAAACATAGAGGACAGTGACACAGGTAGCCATCACCCCTAAATCAATGCAGACAGTCATAAGGATGCAATGCAAGTCCACAATTCACTAACATTGGAAGCTTCTGGGCAATTTAATTTACAGGTGTCTCGTGTTACCTGGCCTGGAGCAGTAAAGCAAACACAATGCAGTAGACATCACAGAATGAAGAAACTGGAGAGAGAGAGAGAGAGAGTTGGTGCATTTGTTGAAAAGTCAATGTAAAATAGACAAAATATTGGATTCTGATCCCACATGTCCAGCAGCAAAAATAACCCTTCCATGTGACCTCCAGTGAGCACATCCTAAACACATAAGCTATTTGTTAGTGTGCAAGGTGGTGAACAGACTTCCAGGCAGCTGCTTTACCCTGCACTTTCCTAATCTCCCGTCCACAATCTGGCCCTTACGTCACACTGACCTTACAAATAAATGGCATACAATTATAGCCGCACAAACATTTAGGCCTACAGTATAGGTTACTACTGTAGGAATAAATATGGTTAATGTCACTGGCAAACAAAGTTGAAAGAAAAAGCGTGCAGGTCCTCTTAAATCACGTACAGTGTGATATAACATTAACTAGGCTATGATTTGATAAATAAACCTTGAGGAAAAACGGTTCTAAAAAATAAAATAAAAAACACTTTAATAATAAGGCACTATGGACGGTAGGCTATGAGCTGTCTGTAGCCTATGACAGGTGAAGCCGTCCGGTCAACAATAAGTACATGCTACGCACTTGAATATCGTTTGGACAAGTGACGCTCAGTATATCCTTATATTTTCTGAGCATTGATAGTAATTGAAAATGCAGGAATACCAGTTACAAAACTAAATAAACATGACAAATGACTACTTTGTGTAATATAACTGCAAACAGTATCAATCATTGTAAAGATATATAAACCTACCTGCTCCGACAACTTGCCTGTGATAGCATACGCAAGGGGCAGCAGTCACGCCTCGATCACATCGACAGTCTTTTGCATTTTGGTACACCAGAAGTACATTCATTTCCAATGGAATCTGCGTTTGCCTTGCAGCATTGCATTGCAGAGTCTGTTGCAGTGCGTTCTGTGTGGTGCATATGTTGGATTTATCGAACATATGCTCAAACTGTATGCGTAGGCCTCCTGTAGACTCCACTTTTCCAAGCACATACTTCACAATTTTCGACACCTCAAATGGGTTTCCCACATATGCATCCTAACAAAACAAACGCATCCCAACAAGAAGCGATTCATGATCATTTACACATTTATCCTCCACTCCAATTTTAGACTACTACTGTTGTCCATTCAGAACATTTATTTTCACCAAATTCGCTTCACCGACCTCTACTGGACACCGTACTTACAAATATATACTGAACAAAAATATAAATGCAACATGTAAAGTGTTGGTTTCATGAGCTGAAAAAAAAAGACCCCAGAAATGTTCCATAGAAAAGCTTATTTCTCTCAAATGTTGTGCACACATTTGTTTACATCCCTGTTAGTTAGCATTTCTCCTTTGCCAAGATAATCCATCCACCTGACAGGTGTGGCATATCAAGAAGCTGATTAAACAGCATGGTCATTACACAGGTGCACCTTGTGCTGGGGACAATAAAAGGTCACTCTAAAATGTCACACAACAAAATGTCACCAATGTCTCAAGTTTTGCGGAAACGTGCAATTGGCAGAGCTGTTGCCAGATATTTTAATGTTAATTTCTCTACCAGAGAATTTGGCAGTACCCCAACCAGCCTCACAACCACAGACCACATGTAACCATGCCAGCCCATGAAAAATAACTTTTTTAAATGTATTTTTTAGGAGCTTAGTCCTGCTTTCAACTTACTCTTGAATGCACAACGTGCAATTTCGCAATTGGGTAGTGCATAATCAGTTTTCCTCTTGTCATAGCAGGCATTGCATCCCTCATGTCAGTCATTCCAATGCTGGAATGGTGGCCTAAATGAAAACGTTTGGGAACCCCTGGCGCAGCAGGTCGAATACATTCAGGGACGTGTGGGTATAAGGTCGAATCCCATTGAAGGCACACTTCTGAATTTTTAAAATGTGAAAACACACTTTCTGCACTGTTGTTCAAATAATTCGTTTTATTTAGTATAGTATAAGGTTCTGTTTAAGCACCCTAAAGAATGCCATAGCTTTCGTTTTTTAAAAAGAGTAAACTTGACGGCAAAAAAAGGGGAGCTTGATGTAAATCTGGCATTACAAATGATTATTAGCTAAGAAAGCCAACGATTTACCGCTACGCCACGGAGGTTTGATGAAAACAGCGGAGATAAAAAAAAGTTAATCTAATAATCACACGCTCCTATTTATTGCTGACCAGCAGATGTCACTAATGTGCATTTTGAACCGATAATGAAAAAGCTCTGAGTAATTAACCGTTTTTTGGCACAATATGGTGAAAGCTCCTATCACTACGCTCTGGCACTGTCGCTCTCAGAGGAACTCAGAAGAGGCGTGGAAAACAGCAGCGTGGGCCTGGGTAGACATTGTCGCCATTTTAAATGTGGCAAATTGTTAAGGTTTGCTTACTTAATTTCTCACTAATTGTCCAGTGCATAGTCAACTAAGGTATTATTACTTACACAACATCACCCTCCTATTATAAAATGCTATAACACTGTAATTCACACACACACACACACACACACACACACATTATTGTAATTACTTCCTATGAGTGTGTTTGATAGAGAGAGCAAGTGACAGCATCAATAGCGGAAGTTTCTCTCTTCCTCTCCAATCTCCTAACCAAACACTTCTCTCCAGCAAGCATCCCACCCAGTGATCAAAGAGGAGAGAGGACTCAAAGGTATTTGATTTTACATCGTTTTACATCATTACTACTTTATAACTACCAGGTGTGGTTACAGTCACAGTTGGTGGCATGGCAGGGAGTAGATAGGGTATCACTTCTGCTTCAAATGGAACAACTTAATCTGTTGATGCTGTGGCTAGATTATGTAGCACCACACTGTATGTTTGTGCTGTATGTATGTATGCATGTACAGTTGAAGTCGGAAGTTTACATACACTTTAGGCAAATAAATTTAAACTCAGTTTTTCCCAATTCCTGACATTTAATCCTAGTAAAATTGCCCTGTCTTTGGTCAGTTAGGATCACCACTTTATTTTAAGAATGTGAAATGTCAGAATAATAGTAGAGAGAATGATTTATTTCAGCTTTTATTTCTTTCATCACATTCCCAGTGGGTCAGAAGTTTACATACACTTAATTAGTATTTGGTAGCATTGCCTTTAAATTGTTTAACTTGGGTCAAACGTTTTGGGTAGCCTTCCACAAGCTTCCCACAATAAATTGGGTGAATTTTGGCCCATTCCTCCTGACAGAGCTGGTGTAACTGAGTCAGGTTTGTAGGCCTCCTTGCTCACACACGCTTTTTCAGTTCTGCCTACACATTTTCTATAGGATTGAGGTCAGGGCTTTGTGATGGCCACTCCAATACCTTGACTTTGTTGTCCTTAAGCCATTTTGCCACAACTTTGGAAGTATACTTGGGGTCATTGTCTATTTGGAAGACCCATTTGCGACCAAGCTTTAACTTCCTGACTGATGTCTTGAGATGTTGCTTCAATATAGCCACATAATTTTCCTTCCTCATGATGCCATCTATTTTGTGAAGTGCACCAGTCCCTCCTGCAGCAAAGCACCCACACAGCATGATGCTGCCACCCCCGTGCTTCACGGTTGGGATGGTGTTCTTCGGCTTGCAAGCCACCCCCCTTTTTCCTCCAAAGATAACGATGGTCATTATGGCCAAACAGTTCTATTTTTGTTTCATCAGGCCAGAGGACATTTCTCCAAAAAGTAAGATCTTTGTCCCCATGTGCAGTTGCAAACCGTAGTCTGGCTTTTTTATGGCGGTTTTGGAGCAGTGGTTTCTTCCTTGCTGAGCGGCCTTTCAGGTTATGTTGATATAGGACTTGTTTTACTGTGGATATAGATACTTTTGTACCTGTTTCCTCCAGCATCTTCACAAGGTCCTTTGCTGTTATTCTGGGATTGATTTGCACTTTTCGCACCAAAGTACGTTCATCTCTAGGAGACAGAACGCGTCTCCTTCCTGAGCGGTATGACGGCTGCGTGGTCCCATGGTGTTTATACTTGTGTACTATTGTTTGTACAGATGAACGTGGTACCTTCAGGCATTTGGAAATTGTTCCGAAGGATGAACCAGACTTGTGGAGGTCTACAATTTATTTTCTGAGGTCTTGGCTGATTTCTTTTGATTTTCCCATGATGTCAAGCAAAGAGGCACTGAGTTTGAAGGTAGGCCTTGAAATACATCCACAGGTACACCTCCAATTGACTCAAATGATGTCAATTAGCCTATCAGAAGCTTCTAAAGCCATGACATCATTTTCTGTAATTTTCCAAGCTGTTTAAAGGCACCGTCAACTTAGTGTATGTAAACTTCTGACCCACTGGAATTGTGATACAGTGAATTATAAGTGAAATAATCTGTCTGTAACAATTGTTGGAAAAATTACTTGTGTCATGCACAAAGTAGATGTCCTAACCGACTTGCCAAAACTATAGTTTGTTAACAAGAAATTTGTGGAGTGGTTGAAAAACGAGTTTTAATGACTCCAACCTAAGTGTATGTAAACCTCCGACTTTAACTGTATGTATGTATGTATGTATGCAGCCTAGATTGTAAAAGGTTTTAAACATCTTAATTTCTAATGTACAGGATGAGTATTCTGTCGCACTTGTACTTGCTTTCACTCTGAACACACACAGTACAGATACACAACACACACACACACACGCACAGAAGTGAGCACTATTTTGTAACTGAAACCATTGTCTCTCCTCTCTCTGTTCTGTAGGGTAAGATGCTGAGTGCGTCCACCCCGACCCAGACGCTCCCCAGCGGAGAGGACAGTTCTGGTTCTGACAGGGGGTCAGAGGTCAGTGTTGGAGCTCCAGCCACAGAGACAGACCGCTTCGGCTTCATCCTGGGGAATGGATCCACTGCTGGGTCAGTACTAAGCAGAGCCTCTGGCTCAGCAGCACTGAAAACCAGTTTTTGCTCTCTCTCTCTCTCTTCACTGCAGAGGTTACCATTCTCTTTCTCTCTCTGTTTTTTAAAGATTGATTAGTTAAGATAAGAGAAACAATGCATTTCTGGTGAATAAAAGACACTAAAGACATCCTATAGCTTGCAACTTGCAACTGAATGCAAAAAAACACAGTTATGGCAGGAAAGGTGACAGTTCAGCATCACAGACAGAAACCATTTTTTTCAATAGATGCAAATACAAGTCAGTCTTTATTTAGTCCAAAGAATGGACCCAGGTAGAATCAGAACACAAATATAACAGTCACCTCCTACACTCTCTCACTCACTCTGTGTCGTTGAACATCCTGACCTGTTGCCATGGAGACAGTCGCACCGCCACCTTGTGGTTTTCCTGTTTCCTGTGTGTCTTTATGGTGTTTTCGTTCTCTGTGACGAGAACTGAAGGTGCAGTTGACTCATCTCAGTAAATGTGCAGATAATTTGGTCTACAGAAACAGGTGAGCCATAGTGAGGAGTTTGTTACCTGCCCTAGACATTTTATTATGACAGTTTTGTTTAAAGTGCTCACCATATTCTGCTGATGATATGTTGGTCAGGAGTGAAGGCCCGCCCCCTGAGCTCGTTAGACAGAGAGAGACCAAGTGGATCAACATCATCAGCCAATGGGATCGTGTCTTACTAAAAAAGTCCAGCAAGGTGTGTACTCTGCCTTTTAAATGTAACCTTTTCTGGAACACCAAACCCAGGTGTTTATTCTGGCATGACCCTTACACACCCTCCACCTGTCTCTCAGGTCAAAGAACAGTGTCAGAAAGGCATCCCAGCATCCCTCAGGGCTAAATGTTGGCCACTGCTGTGTGGCGCCACAGACAGAATGCGCCACAACAAGGACCTCTATCAGGTAAGAGAGCAACCACCTCTACAGATAGAACCAACAATTAGAACCTTACTGTGCCATTTGTATGATATACTTACTGTAAATCTACAAATATTGCAGAGTAAAACCTACTCATCAGGTACATCTCTCCCCCGCTATCAGACTCTGGACTCCAGGCCCGCCCTACAGAGCTGGGTGGACGTTATAGAGAGAGACTTAGACCGCCAGTTCCCTTTCCATGAGATGTTCCTCTCCAGAGACGGCCATGGGTAACAAAGCCTTATAATACTACAAATGGAATGATGATGATATACGAATCACATCTTTCTCCATCTCTCCTTCTTGTAGTGTTGTATAAATATCGTCTAGAGCGTTATCCCGTCAATGTCTGGTTCATCTGAGTGTTTTGTTGTTTGTGTGGGCAGACAGCGTGGTCTGTTCCGGGTGCTGAAGGCCTTTACTCAGCTGAAGCCTGAGGAGGGCTACTGCCAGGCCCAGGGACCTGTAGCAGCTGTACTGCTGATGAACATGCCTACTGAGGTACTGTTACAATCACCATGTTATCACCGGTGATCCTTCATCATCACGTTGAAAGGACTGGACCTTCGATCTCTCTTAATACCTTTGCTTTCCCCTCCTATAGGAGGCATTCTGGTGCCTGGTGCAAATCAGTGAACAGTACCTCCCTGGCTACTACAGTCCCCTTCTGGTAAGATGATGGCTCTACACGCACCGTTACTTTACTACACATGATCAATTTGGGATACAGTGTACTCGACAGTATAAACTGCATACGTGCTACTGCTACATCAATATGTTTTTCCATCAGTAAAGGGTTTGGATGTTGTAACATAGCTGAATAGCAGCTCTCCAGACACTTGTCTCTTTAATGTTGTCTGTAGGAGGGGGTTCTCTTTGACGCAGCCATGCTGACCAGGGTGCTGAAGAGGACGTGTCCCGCGGCTCACAAGCACCTGCAGAGACACGGCGTGGAGCCTCTGATGTTCGCCACCGATTGGTTGATGTGCCTGTTTACACGCCACCTACCTTTTAACACCCTGCTCAGGGTCTGGGACCTGTTCTTCTGCTACGGTCTGTACCTGAATAAGGGAATTAATTAATCCATCATCTATAGTCATATTTATTCATTCTATCAATCTTCTATCTATCCAATCTACCTATTCTTATTTCTTGGCCCTTCTGTCCACACTCAACGTTGAAAGAATCTCTCTAAGAGATTTGATTGCTCTGTTTCCCTCCTTGTGTTGTTTTTATCCCCCTCCATCAGGAGTGCGTGTGTTGTTCCAGGTGGCGGTGGTGTTGGTGCGCAGGGCTCTGGGCCGGGTGGAGCAGAGGGAGGCTTGCGAGGGCCAGATGGAGACTCTGGAGAGGCTGAGGGGTGTGAGGGAGCAGGTGCAGAAGGAGGACGACACCTTCATTGCAGAGGTCAGACACCTGGCCTCAGGACCGATACACATGTACACCAGTTATACTTGAACTATCTTACCATGTATATAAATACACACACCTGTGTGAGAGCATATAAACCCGCACTTTTACCACCTCCCCTCTATCTCCCTTTCACCCCCACCTAGGTGTGTTCTGTCCCCCTGTCGAGTAAGGATCTGGAGAGGCAGACAGAGAGAGAGCTGGAGAAGTGGAGAATGGAACGGCCCGCCTCCACCTTTGATCCCCGGGGTCGTTGCCATGGATATCGGATGGCGTGGGCGAGGGCTCAAGAGATGGAGGAGGAGAGGAACAGGAAGAAGAGGGAGAAAGGTAACCTGTCCCTTCCTCCGATTTCCTCGCACTCCCTCCTCTCTCTCTCTCCCTCACTCCTCCGCAATAGGAAGAAAGGGAGCAAGACAGACACAGGAGAGTGCGAGGGAGGGAATCTGAGGAGAGGAAGTGAGATGGATGGTAGTCTAGTGAGGGCTCAGGGTGTTCCACCTCCAGCTACAGAGGATAGGGCCCCAGTGGAAACGAGAGAACCGTTAGAACACAAAGAACCACTAGGACAGGAGGACAGAAGCCAGAAAACCCAGCTGACCCCAGATTCAGACGGAGAACCGTCCCAGCAGCGTCAGCTCACCTCTGACCACAGCGTCACCTCACAGGGTCAAGGAGAGGAGCAGGGGGGTTTCAGCCAGACCCATGCCTCTGAGCAGTACAGCGACAGCCAGACACAGGAAACTAACCACAGTAAAGGCACCATGCAAACACAGGAAGTACTGAACAAACAGTCAACAGCGAGTGCAAATATCATCACAGAGCACATAGTGACAGAGACGAAGGGTGAGGCAGAGAAAAGCAAGGATACAGAGACACATGCAGAAGCAAATACAGAGGAGGAAACTGCTCCACACACAGACACAGAACTGAAGACATACACTGAAGCAAAGACAGAGGAAACAGCTCCACACACAGACACAGAACTGAAGGCATACACTGAAGCAAAGACAGAGGAAACAGCTCCACACACAGACAAAGAACTGAAGACATACACTGAAGCAAAGACAGAGGAGGAAACAGCTCCACGCACAGACACAGAACTGAAGACATACACTGAAGCAAAGACAGAGGAGGAAACAGCTCCACGCACAGACACAGAACTGAAGACATACACTGAAGCAAAGACAGAGGAGGAAACAGCTCCACACACAGACACAGAACTGAAGACATACACTGAAGCAAAGACAGAGGACGAAACAGCTCCACACACAGACACAGAACTGAAGACATACACTGAAGCAAAGACAGAGGAGGAAACAGCTCCACACACAGACACAGAACTGAAGACATACACTGAAGCAAAGACAGAGGAGGAAACAGCTCCACACACAGACACAGAACTGAAGACATACACTGAAGCAAAGACAGAGGAGGAAACAGCTCCACGCACAGACACAGAACTGAAGACATACACTGAAGCAAAGACAGAGGAGGAAACAGCTCCACACACAGACACAGAACTGAAGACATACACTGAAGTAAAGACACAGGATGAAACAGTGCCAGAGACCCACACATATGCAGAGACCCAGATACACGCAGAAGCCAAAACAGAGGAGGAAATGGAGGCAGAGGTACAGAAAGGACTACATACAGATAAAAGTGTAGGGACCGAGACAGACATGGGGTCAAAAACAGAGACTCAAACAGATGTGAATACAGACATGGAGACAGACACACAACAAGAGGCAGATGTAAACTTAGAGGCAGAAACAGACATGGGTTCACTGACAGAGACAGAGAGAGACAAAGACACTGACACAGAGACACACACCGACAAGGAGATAGAGGCACGTACCGAGATACAGTCACAAAAAGGGACAGAGACACACACAGATGAAAAATCTGAGGCAGAGAGAGAAACAGAGGTAGAGGCACATACAGAAACAGAGACACAGGGAGAAAATGAGTCAGCAATGCACATAGAGGCAGACACAAGAGTAGATGCAGAAACAGACTTGGGGTCACAGGTGGAGGCAGAAACACAGACAGAATCAGAGATAGAGGTGCCTGTATACACAGGGGTCGAGACGGGCACAGACGAAGCCACTGAGACAAACACAGGGATAGAGACGGCCATGGAGTCTCCAAATGAAATTCAGAGACAAACAGAGACAGCAAAGATAGAGGTACAGTACACAGAGCCCTCTAGGATAACACCAGCCAATCAGAGCCAGGTTTCTCCAGAGTTGACCTCCACTACTGAGCCTGAGGGGGAGAGGGACTCATCAGGCCAAACAGGCCAAGACCAGAAGCTACCTGAAGAACCCCAGAATCCAGTCAGAATCCATCCAGAGGAGAATCAGGAGACCCAGAACGTCAGAGAGAGTGAAGGAGAGAAAGAGGAGGAAGTATTCACACTTCCCTCTCAGGAAGACTCAACTGAAATCCTTCCATCATTACAGGGGGAATCACTGAAAGCTGACTTCCCTCCCATACCTGGCAACCCAAAGTCACAAAGTCAGAGTGAGAAGAGTGAGTCTCCCCCTCCTACAGACTCAAAGGCAGGCTCTGGCAACTCAGTGTCCACACACGCTGATGTCTCGTCCCAAAGGACCACGCCCCGTGATGGACCGTGGGCAAACCCCTTCCGGAGACTTCCGGCTCTGCAAGTCCTCCAGCTCCCGGAGGCTCACCCGCAGGCTCTCTGAGGATCTCTTCACTAACCCCAACCAATCACAACCCACCTTCACACACTCCAATCAATCAAATACAAGTTTCATTCAGTCCAATCAACCACAGCCCACACCTCCCATTCATGTACCAAAGCACACAGAATCACCCCAACGAGTGACAGGGAGCACCCCGGCCACTGTCCCACCTCAGACTGGGCCCACACCAGACAGAGGGCCGACCGACACCCCCAGGCGATTTGGTCTCTTCCGCAGGCACAAAGATCCCGTCCCCAAAATCCTGATCCAGGACTTCAGTGATGGGACGGGTGAGGGGCGCACGGTCAAGGGGAAGGAAGAGGAGGAGAAGCTGAGCTCCAGAGAGAGGAGGAGGAGACGGAGGGAGCAGGAGAGGAGGGAGAAAGAGGAGGAGAAGTTACGGAAGAAGAGGGAGAAGGAGTTGGAGAAAGAGAGAAAGAGGGAGAGGAGGAAGCCTCAGACGAGGGGGAAGAGTTTTCAGGTGCAACCCAGCAATGTTCCCCTCCCTGGAAACAGTGGCTCACAGACATTTGGTTCCAAAAGAAACTCAACTCCATCTATGGAGACATACTTTTAATAAGCAAGGAAAGAAATCGACATACTAAGTTTTTACAAACCACAAAAATGACCCATAAAACATCTCATCCAAGTGTAGACTTCAAAAATTAAAAATGTAAATAAAACAATTTATATTTTCAAACTGAGGAAAAAATGTTTGTTTTTTTATTCTAGGGCTTGTGTACATTGATCATCGACATAAACAGGAAGTGCTTGTTGTCCATTTCCTCATAATTCCAGAATCCCCAGTGTGATATCATCATCATGGTCCAATAAAAAGGCTGAATGTCCCGTCACTGTCCCTCAGAGAATCTACTGAGTGCAGACTTTCTTCTCAAAGCTGCAACGGTCATTAGAACTAGAAAGGTCTGCATACTTTAAATCCAGATTCAAAAAAATTATTACAAGGTTAAGTCTGCATCCAATGTGATTAGTACAGTCTTCAGATTAGATCCAGACCTTTTTTAATCTCTTTAAATATCTCCTCGCAGGGATTCTATAAGTAGGTTTAACAAACAGTCTCCCAAACACATACACACACAAACACACGTGGCTTCAACTCCACCACCCCAGGTCATGGCAATGATGCTTGGGTGTCGTCGTCGCTGTCACTGGCCAACACTTCTTGGCTCTTGATCGTCTGATTGGTCAGTTGAGAATCAGAGGGACAGACTGACCCGAAAAACAGCGAGCGGAACTGAGCGGGGATAAAGTGAGAGATGGGGGAGAGCGGTTCGTTTTACATTGATCCCAGCAGTTGTATAAGTAACAGCAAGCCCTTTGACAACAAAGCTCACCTTTTTATTTGGAGGTCTTTCAGTGTCCTCGGTCTCTTCCTCCTCCTCCTCCTCCTCTCCGCTCTCTAGCCTGCGCCTGTGTATGGCTACAGATGGCTGAGTTGTAAGTGTGTGATTGGGCGAGGGGGACCGGGGTGCAGGGGCATCGGAGGGACCTGCTAATTCACTGGTCTCCATGGCAATGAGGTAGGAGTCAATGTCGTCGTTCATAAAGTCGTCAGGAGGTGGCGGCGAGCGAGCTCTGGGGAGAGCGGAGAGGATTCTGGGTAAAGAGCAGGGTCCTGTACAAAGAGGTATGACTGTTCTGAATGTTTGACAGTTAATGTTCAATTACTGTTTTGTATTATTGTTGTTATGGTTACGGAGGTTGGAATCATCAGACAGAGTGGCAAGCACGAAGTTCACCTCCAGAACACTGTCTGTTACACTTAACACCAAGGGTCTGACAAAAACAGATACACAGAAATTAGTGATACACAGGAAACAAAATATCCTAATACCTTTCATATTGGTATGTGTGAGTTGTGAATATGTATCCTTACCTGCCTGGCTCATCAAAATACACAGAGACAGGAAGACCTGTGGATTCTGCAAACACCAGCAAGCCCTGAAAGACAAGGCAACACTTCATTAAGTGGCCTGCTATGATGCCTTCAAATTACTTATGACATACCACGCCAGATTATAACAACAGTAATAACCCATTTGACAAGTGACATAACCCCACATACCCTCAGCTCCTTTAGGCAGAATGTGATGCTGGTCTGAGCTCCGACAGCAAAGTGGTCAAACTCATCAGAACTCAGACACAGTTCAGTCAGCATGGCTTTGGATTGCTCTGCAAGAGAGAGAGAAAGGGAGTGGGGGGAGATTAAATATATTACTATCATGTTGCTATATTGGGTTATTGACTTATTAAAAAATACAAAATAAACACTATACCACCAACACTTCAATAGTGTAGAAAAACAAAACGTTTCTCCTCACCTGCCTCGTCATCTACATGGTTCCTGAACCACACTCGTTCTCCACTCACTGACACACTCACCTCTTCCAGAGAGGGAGGGAAATGCAGCACTGTGTCAACCAGCAACCTGGAGTAAAGAAAGAAGGACAAATAAAAGCGATGCACAGGAGGTAAGAGGACAGGAGAGGAACACTGAAAAAGAGAGAGAGAGAGAGAATGTGTTGACCTGGGCTGGGCGCGAAGCATGTTGGCACAGCTCTCTTTATCAAACACGGCCTGCAGACTCTCACTGTCCTGGAATGACAGGTTGTGTGTCTTCAGCAGCCCTACAGAACGCAAACACACACACACAATTGATATGCCTTGGTTAGGGGAAAGCTAAGGATGTAAGGAAGTTTAAATTGGTTGACACTCTTTAGATAAAACTGTTCTATGGTTATTTTATGGCACTTTAACGGTCTGTACCATGTTTGCAGTGCAGGGTGAAGGTGAGACGACTCTTCTCTCCATCCAGTTCAATGTGACACTTCTCTACTGTCTTCTCCAGAGACGACAGGGACCTGAACACAGCCTGCACACACTGAGAGAGAGGGAGAGAGAGAGGAGAATAAGTAGACAGTATTAAACTGTAGATAACAGAAATGTGTCAAACAGGGTTGGGCTTAATTCGAATTGAAGGCAGTCAATTCAAGAAGTGATTAGAATGTAAAATTCAGAATATTTTATTTTTTATGAATAACTTATACTTCTCAGTTTATTGAGAAGTCATTGAAAATAAATGTAATTTTTTTCCATTATTGAATTGTTATTTTAGTTTACTTCCTGGATTGACTGCCTTCAATTCGAATTGAGCCCAACCCTGGGGTCAAAGCAATGTGTCTGTACCTTGATGGCCATCTTGCAGCGAAAAGCATGTCCACAGGGAATGGTGTATCTGTAAAAGAATGTAAGCAGCCATAGGTAGTGTACCCTATCTTTCTTTCGCGTTCTCACACACACACACACACACCATACCTGCTGAAGAAGAGTGGGGAGAAAAGGAAGCATGCGTAGGCTGAGCGGGACGAGTTCACAGAACGCAGAGCCAGCTGGGAGACAGGAAACAGGAAAGATATACTTTACAGTTTCAGCCCAATCCCTGGGCCGCAATGATGTCTTGGCAACAATAGTGTAGAAGTTAGTGAGAATGAGTGTCAGTGTATTTTGGTATGCATATCCAAGTGTGTGTGTGTGTATCATGGTAAATCACCCCATTCTCCTGTGGCTCCAGGTACAACTCATCACCTATCCTGGACAGAGAGTGGATGGCCTTGGCCAGCACTGTAAAACACAGACACACAAATCATCACAATTTCATTCAAGAAAAAGGCATGTAACTAGCTAGCTAGGTGGTGGTATAAAATGTATTCTCAAATGTCAGGTGGGATAAGTACCTTTCACGTTGCCCCCTGTCACAACGCAGTCCATGTCAGGGAGGTGACAGTACTTCAGTGTGAGTGGCCTCTCTGGATGCAGGGTTGTTTGAGTTACCTTACAGGTATACAGATCACACTTTCATAGCGCCTGGACAGGAAGGGTGTGTCAGTCAGAGACATATATAGCTACAGTTACAAGGGGTTTCTTGGCTACTCATCCCTCGCAGAAAGCTGACAAATATCAAGGTGACTATGTTTGATAGCAAATTATCAGTGAGCAAAGGTTGCTCCAGGGACTTTTGAAATGGGTAGCACTTGTCAACATGATTGCAGAAGGAAGCTAGCCAGCAAAAAATGTAATTCCAAAGGAGTAACGTTATATTAATGGCAAATTAGCAAAGTTATTTACTGACCAAAGATTGCTAGCGACGTTATAACACCAGTTCACAATGTAGCTAGCTAAGGGTACTTGCTGCATGGATAGCTTGTTAGCTAGCTAGCTACTTAGCTAGCTAGCAAGCTAACAGTACCAGCTAGCTAGCTAGCTAGTTGAGTAAAGTGAAATCTGTTTAGCTAGCTAGCATTTTAGTCAGAAACTATCATTCCTGCTCGACTGGCTAGATTCAGAAGGTTTGTGCATTATACCGGCCATTAATATTATTCACTAACTTCCATAGCTAGCTATAAATATACACAGCAATGCGTTGTAAATACTCACTTTGTTTACTTCAAAGCCGCCATAATGCGCCTCTTTCCGGCCGACCAATCAGAGAAACGAATGGGCGTGTTCTTGTTGATGAAGGGCCTGCGCATATACTGATCTGTCTGTATCTTTGGGCAGCTTCCAAACAACGCGGAGTATCAAGTCTAATCCGTAAATCCTTCATTAGAGAAACAGGTCCTATCAATCAATTCACACACTCCACAGCTGTCAATTGGAGGTTGTAACTATACTGAACAAAAATATAAACGCAACATGGAACAATTTCAATGATTTTACTGAGTTACAGTTGGTAGAGCATGGCGCTTGCAATGCCAGGGTTGTGGGTTCGTTTCCCACGGGGGGGCCAGTATGAAAAATGTATGCACTCACTAACTGTAAGTCGCTCTGGATAAGAGCATCTGCTAAATGACTAAAATGTAAATGTAATCTATGGATTTCACATGATTGGGCAGGGGCACAGCCATGGGTGGGCCTCCCCAGCGAATCAGAAGGAGTTTTTCCCCACAAAAGGGCTTTATTACAGACAGAAATACTCCACAGTTTCATCAGCTGTCTGGGTGGCTGGTCTCAGATGATCCCACAGGTGAAGAAGCCGGATGTGGAGGTCCTGGGCAGGCGTGGTTACACGTTTGGGTGTACTGCCATATTCTCTAAAACGACGTTGGAGAGAAATTAGCATTAAATTATCTGTCAACAGCTCTGGTGGACATTACTGCAGTCAGCATGCCAACTTGAGACATCTGTGGCATTGTGTTGTGTAACAAAACTGTACATTTTAGAGTTGCCTTTTGTTGTACCCAGCACAAGGTGCTGTGTAATGATCATGCTGTTTAATCAGATTCTTGATATGCCACGCCTGTCAGGTGGATGGATTATCTTGGCAAAGGAGAAATGCTCACTAACAGGGATGTAATCAAATGTGTGGCAAAAATTTGAGAGTGGCGCAGTGGTCTAAGGCACTGCATCACAGTGCTAGCTGTGCCACTAGAGATCCTGGTTCGAGTCCAGGCTCTGTCGCAGCCGGCCGCGACCGGGAGACCCATGGGCGGCGCACAATTGGTCCAGCGTCGTCCAAGGTAGGGGAGGGTTTGGCCGACTGTAAGTCGCTCTGGATAAGAGTGTCTGCTAAATGACTAAAATGTAAATACAGTTTTTGTCTGTATGGAACATTTCTGGGATATTTTATTTAAGCTCATAAAACATGGGACCAACACTTTACATGTTGCGTTTTATATTTTTGTTTATATAACATTTGTTTGCAAAGAACATCTCACAGTTGTTCAAAATCACTCATGTTCAAAATCAGCTTCAACATGATCAAATTTCTGTTAGAAGAACAAAAGGATTTTGTAAATGTATCACAGATATATCTTCGTGTGGAACAGTAGAAGCAATGTCTTTCCTAATGTGAAGCCAACTCCTTTTGCTCAGACAAAAATAGCCCCAAAAAAGCCTCCTGACCACACTATGCTGAGAAAGAGGGCATGTGCCAGTGTATACATGTGTGGCAGAGAGACAGAATGAGAGAGAGAGAGAGAGAGAGAAAGCGAAAAGAGAGAGAGAGAGAGAGAGAGAGAGAGAGATTGAGTCACTGTCACTTGTGGATGAAAGGGCTATAGAGTAGTTAGACCAGCCTCACTGGTCTTTCTCGTTGGTCTGGGTGCATGTCTCTGTCTGTAAGGCCTGTGGAATGCTGATGACCCTCTTCTCCTCCTAGTGATGACATGATCACTCCCCGATCGAAAGAAGGAAAACTTCTCCACCACGAAAATAGGCACGTGTGACTTCTAGAGATAGAGAGAAACAAACAGGAGAGTGAGATAATTTGATAGAGAGGAAAAGGAAGAGAGAGTGCCAGAGTGAGAGAGAGCGAGAGAGTGTAAGAGAGACAGAAGAGTTTGAGCGGTTTTTAGCGTTGCTGTTTTTTGACACTGCGGAGTCGACAGAGCAATGTTACAACTTTTCTGACAACCCATGGAGGACTGGAATGAGCATGCAACAGACAGAGGAAATAAGGGGAAAGAATATGTCAACAATCCATCGGGAAAAACTGGTGAAGTATGACAGTGGAGAATGACTGGAATGAAAACGAGAACAACCCTAACATGCTTCCTAACAAGACAAAAGACGCCAGGGCACATGCCTGAAACTGAACTAAGACTGAGGACAAACACAAGGAATATTCCAGATTGTTCTCTGTAACTCAATCTCAATAGCCGCTGGTCTGTCTAATCCATAATCCATATACAGCATATCATATTATGTACTGTATGTTTGTTTGTATATACCATCATTGGTCTAACCTAGGGGGTCTGATGTAAGAGTGCTCTCTGTCCTGGATGTCTCAACCAAGCCCCTCCGTGGACACCCAGACTCTGCTTCAGTCCATGCTCCAGAGACTGAGGCTCCAGCCTGGCTCAGAGACCCAGCACGGCAGGCAGGGACAGGCCCCCCACGGCCCCACCACAGCTGCCCAGGGCCAGGGGGAGGATGGGGGGAGACCTGGGGCTAACATCATTGGCAATGGATCTGTGGCGCTGTCTCCGGCTGATGATGTCAGAGGGGCTGAGGGCAAAGGGGGATGTGAGAAGGCCAGGAAGCATGAGATGAGGATGTGGGACTCCAGGGAGGAGTTTGGGATACCGGCTTGGGACAGTAATGTTTGGGGATCCAGACGGAAAGAGAAAGGGGAGGAAGGGAGGAAGCAACCCACTGGCAGTCTCCCCAAGTTGGACAGGGGACAGATGGTGTCATCCCCTTCGGCTGCTCAGGGTGCCCCTGTCCTCACCCCCTCCCCCTCACAGGATGCTGGCAGTGAAAGAGGTGACCCAGGGGGGTCAGCGGGGGCTCTACCAACAATGATGACCTTCACAGGAACTCAAACCGGGAATGAGGGCCACATTGACCCATCACCTCTGGGTAACTCATCTCTAAACTCCAAGACCAAGGGTGCTCAGAACCATGACGGGTCGGTTCTAATGGCGTCAAACTCTGACTTTACCCCCAGAGTCTATGATTGGTCCTTGAAGAGCACAGAATTATATCCAGACATAGGGAGTCAAATGGAGAGGTGGCGGCCTTTGGAGAATGGGTCAGAGATTCCGGGACATGATGTCATGGAGATTATGTCACCCAGTCAAGGTGTAGCAGAAAACACCTCGTCAACTAAGATGATGAAGAGATTGTCTGAGAACACAACACAGAGATGGACACAGAGGATAAAGGAGAAATGGAGGGACAGGCATGGGAGTTTTGGGAAGAAAAGGAAAGCGGAGGATGGAGTGAGAGAAGAGAGGAAAGATGCAAAACAAGTTAAAGTAAGTACAGTAAAGTTTACTTTGACTCATTTTATTTATTTGATGATACAGACCATTTCATTAGCAAATACATCAACAAGTAACATCTTCGCTAACCTTTGTTAGCTTACTGACTAGCATTACACTCGAAGATTCAATACATTTTTCATTCAACAGTTTCCACAGCAACATCAGCTGTCAACCAGAGAAGATAAAGTCACTAAGATGTCCAATAAAGAAGGCGATACTCAGTCACCAATCAGAGAGGGCAAGGAGGAAGCCCCTCCCACTCTGTCAGAAGACAGTGGTACAGAGGGTCAGTTCAGGTCGGTTCAAAACAACCAGACAATCAAACAGCTGTCAGTGTAGCAGATCAGCGTCGATATGTGTTAGCGGCCATGGTTTGGTTGTTCAGCCTCTGTGCATTTGGCTAACTCATTACCCAAGGAAGTAGATTATAACTACTGTCTTGTGATTTGATGTGCATTGGTTCAAATGTAATATGTGTACCAGTTTGCCTATAGTTACGGCATGGAGTATTTCCTAGTCAGGTCATGAAAACCTTTTTGCCTTAATTATATACTATGGAACAGCGGGGACTGTGAAGAGACACACAGGCACAGACACACATACACATGATAAGACCCGCACTCTACACACACGTACAGACAGACACACATACACATGATAAGACCCGCACTCTACACACATGTACAGACAGACACACATACACATGATAAGACCCGCACTCTACACACACGTACAGACAGACACACATACACATGATAAGACCCGCACTCTACACACACATACAGACAGACACACATGCACATGATAAGACACGCACTCTACACACACGTACAGACAGACACACATACACATGATAAGACCCGCACTCTACACACACGTACAGACAGACACACATACACATGATAAGACACGCACTCTACACACACGTACAGACACACATACACATGATAAGACACACACTCTACACACACGTACACATGAAGGGATCCTTAATAAATACAAATACAAACAGGGCTAAGAGATTCTTCTGACTATGTGATCTAACTAGGAATAACACCTTGCTCAAGATATTACCTACCTATGATTTCACATCTGAGTAAGTTCTGTGTGCTATTTGTGTATGCAAGGGGAGGTTGTCATAGCTGAGACATTAGTTAGGGTGATACTGTGCACTTTCAGCTTTGAGGTGTCAGACACACCCTAGTCACTGACAGTTACTGTCTCTCTCACTCGCACACACACAGGAAGTTCTCAGTTCCTGTTTTAGTTAGTATTGAGTAAGACAGTGGTGCTTTGATAGATAGTTATATACTGTATGTACATGTTTGATATATCTAATCTAGTATTCCTTATTTGTCATGACAGATCCCCAAGTTCCTTTGAGTTCAGTCTTGGATCCTTTAGCTTGTTGGAGGAGATCCTCACAGGGCAGGAGTGGGCCAGGTTTCTAAACCCATCCCAAGTAGACGCCTCAGCCAATCAAACACCAGCTGAAGAGGTCACAAATCAATCAGAGACCAGCCAGAACCGCCCACAAGATCATGAGAGCGCCCAATCAACTTTGACCTTGGACAGAGTCAGCCAATCAGGAAACGTGAACAGTCAGTGGGACTTCAGACCAAGTGAATTGGACCAAAGTTATGATAGAAGCGCTGATGTTTCTGCACCTGTCAATATGAATATCACAGAACCAAGCCTTGTCCAAGAACAGAACAGTAAATGTGAACTCATCCAATCAGCACCAAAGGAATACTGTCATGTCCAATCACAAACCAGCTCTGATGAAGTGAGGCCAAATCATATCCCTGTGTTAGAGTTCTCCTTCATTAAGGTAAGATTTCACTCAAACATTATTGGGTAGTTTCCTGGATGCAGATTAAGCCTAATCCTGGACTAAAAGGTAATTTAAATTAGGAGATTCTCCATTGAGTTTGCATTTTAGTCCAGGACTAAATTTAATCTGTGTCCGGGAAATCGCCCCTATAGGCCTTAACTTAAACCCTATCACTAACCTTTTATGTAACCCTGAATTAACTCATCCTGATTAACTAAAATATATGCCTTTGGGGGGGTTCTACTAAGATACCATATGGAATTGTTTCAAGATGGTCATACCATGGATCATTTAGCTATTTGATTTGGAATTTTAGGACCACTGTAGGTATATAAAAAAATAATAATGAATTTGTCCTTTACTACTGTACTATAGCCCATAGAAATGCATTGAATAACATTAATAAATGGCAAAACAGAGTAAAAAAAAGAATCATAAGGAATAATTTTTGAAGTGTCTGTCCTATATCTAGGAGTTATAAGAAAGCTCAGGAAATATTTTAGTTTTTTTGACACATATTTAACCCCTTTTTTTGTTGGCACAAAACTACCTCCATACTTCCACTCATTTTTTAAACCAGTACCGGGTTACCTTCAGACGAGTGTAGCCCAAACGGTTTGGACACTACAGACAGAAGTTGGCACATCGGCGGTACTGACTTCAGACGAGTCCAGTGGGACCAAACCGATTTTCGGGATGTCTCATGGTCTGACAAACACCGCTGTAGTTCCACCGCAGATGCGGAAGGTCAACATAGGCAGATGCAGTGGATTGACTCAGCCCTTGCAAAAAAACGATATCTCTATCTTAAACTGACAGATTTTGATGGGGATTTTTGTATTATGTTACATAGATTGATGCACTGGTGCGTCAGTAATAGACTCTTAAGGATTAAAGTTGATAATAGTGTACCTTGTTGTTCCACAGCCAGTGGAGGTCTTGGACAGCTCTGCCCTGAAGAGCAGGGTCCACCTGAACAGAAAAAGAGTGCACCAGTCACAGGAGAGGGAAGAAGAGAGGGAATGTTTAAAAGGAGAGGGGAGAGAGAGAAAAGAAGACAACTCAGTCCCATCTGATGAGGACAAGAGGGAAGAGGGGGACATCTTCATGATGCCTCTCTACCCCCTGAAATCCTCCCTTTCCCCTCTCACTCCATCCTCCCCCTCTTCCTCCCCCTCCTCACATCCCCTTGTCACCCGAAGTATACTGCGACACTCCATGTCTCAAGATTTAGAGTCCTCACTATCAATGGAAACAGTGACCAAAAAGGTAAGGACAGATTTTACTCTCAGTTGTCTGTCCCACACTGTCAGCATTTGGACTACTGTAAATTGAAAAATCACCTGGGGCATTCACCCAACCCTTCTCTCTCACTCTTTCTCTCTGTCTGTCTCTCTCTCTCTTCTCTCCTCTCTCTTTCTCAGAGGCGGATGTCAAAATCTCGTCACGTGCGGTTCTCTGAGGAGGTAGTTACCATGCCGCCCAGCCTCCTGATCCAGCAGGATTACGAATCAGAGGAGGATTGTGGGACAGAGGAGTACTCCACACTAGAGGAGAATGCAGTGATGAAGGAGGAAGTTGAAGTTGTGCCGATGATGCCACAGCCCACTGCTGCTCTCCCCGCCTGGATATTAGCTCTGAGGAAGAAGACAAGGAAGAAACACTGAACAATAACTGGCTCATCCTTGTGCTTATCCTTGTCTACCCTTATTTAAACAAGAAATTACCTTGAGAATCTCCTTTGCAAGAGAGACTTGGCAATATAGTGAAAGCACTTTGTAATTACTTTTGCATCTTTTTTTTTGCTTCGCTCAATCTACAAGCAAACACACTCATGTCATTACATGATCGTTATGTTTATGTCTGAAAATGTTCTAAGTCCATTAGCATGGAATGTCAGGAGACAATAGTTATAATGGACTGTTTCTCTCTCTAAATTCAATTCAATTTGCTTTATTGGCATGACGTAACAATGTACATATTGCCAAAGCTTACTTTGGAGATGTACAATATTAACATAATTTTCTCTCTCTCTCTTGTCTCTCTACTCTCTCTCTCCTCATCAGTCCTTATTAACAGTGGTATAACACCATTAAGAAGCTCTTTAGCTGATCTATTAGTGCTGTGATGGGTCCTTGGTGAGAGGAGGAGTGCACAGGTTGTGTGTGTGTGTGTGTGTATATGTATCTGCGCATATTTGTTTTCCACCAGGTTCCAAGATCACTATAAGACCACGTAATCTCTTCTCATACCCCCTTAAACCCCCCATCGTTATAGTAGATCACAAATGGAGATCATAAGAGCAAGACAGATGGAGAAAGGGATGAGGCCGGGTACCTGTAACATATGAACTACAGAGTATGTACAAAGGTAATGGGACCAGGGCAAAGCTTTTATGTGGCGGCAGACTGTGTAACAACTATAATATTGAGAGTAACAATTTATAAAGTCCCCTGTAGCTCAGTTGAGCATGGCGCTTGCAACGCCAGGGTTGTGGGTTCGTTTTCCCACGGGGGGCCAGTATGAAAATGTATGCACTCACTAACTGTAAGTTGCTCTGGATAACAGCGTCTGCTAAATGACAGAAATGTAAAATAAAGTTATTTTAAGCTATAATAGTTTGTTTTTACTCATTTATTCATCCCACCGTACAGAGATAGTTTGCCCCAAAAGATTGGAACATTTTAAAAGTTCTTCAAGGGGTTCAATTGTTACCTTCACCCACATGAACATGGAACATATCAACAGCTGCTGATGAACTTAGGAAGTGGGGGAGGATCCTCCTCTCTGCCGATTGGTTGAAGTGGAATGTCACTCAAAGCTGCTGCTGCTGCTGCTGCTGCTGCTGCGTCTTCTTCTTCTTCTATGGTATAATGCGGTCCACAAATGTTTAAGGTGCATGCCGCCACCTACTGTGCTGGAGTGTGCAATTAATCATGGTTTGCCTAATTCTGTACTACAAGGAAATAAAAAAAAGAAAAAGAAAAAAAACCCTACTAACTTCTAACAAACCCTGTCTCATGTCACTCAAATTATAACCAACTAATTGCAGCATTACCGCAAAAATTGAGCAGGAAAGTGGAAGGGGGAGAAGCTAAGGAACTTGTCTGTCGGCCCTGCATTAAAGACCAAAATTGGTTAAAGAACATTGTGATAAATAAGAAAGTATACCAGTTTAATTTAAGGACCCAAAATTTGACAGCTGTGCCATAGAGGTTGCAAAAAAGTTGGGAAGAGATTTTCGATTAATCGATTCCAAGGCACATTGTTTATGAACTGATACACAAAACGACGCCGGATTCAAAACTTAGTTTTTCAATTTTAAAGATTAAACAAAAATCTTGCAACCAATAGAATGTTATATATATGGGGGATACAACCATTTTGCTGCGAAGAGACAGAATCATTAGCTCACCTGTTTTGGTACTGCCCATACATACAGTGGGGGAAAAAAGTATTTAGTCAGCCACCAATTGCGCAAGTTCTCCCACTTAAAAAGATGAGAGAGGCCTGTAATTTTCATCATAGGTACACGTCAACTATGACAGACAAATTGAGAAGAAAAAAAATCCAGAAAATCACATTGTAGGATTTTTAATGAATTTATTTGCAAATTATGGTGGAAAATAAGTATTTGGTCACCTACAAGCAAGCAAGATTTCTGGCTCTCACAGACCTGTAACTTCTTCTTTAAGAGGCTCCTCTGTCCTCCACTCGTTACCTGTATTAATGGCACCTGTTTGAACTTGTTATCAGTATAAAAGACACCTGTCCACAACCTCAAACAGTCACACTCCAAACTCCACTATGGCCAAGACCAAAGAGCTGTCAAAGGACACCAGAAACACAATTGTAGACCTGCACCAGCCTGGGAATACTGAATCTGCAATAGGTAAGCAGCTTGGTTTGAAGAAATCAACTGTGGGAGCAATTATTAGGAAATGGAAGACATACAAGACCACTGATAATCTCCCTCGATCTGGGGCTCCACGCAAGATCTCACCCCGTGGGGTCAAAATGATCACAAGAACAGTGAGAAAAAATCCCAGAACCACACGGGGGGACCTAGTGAATGACCTGCAGAGAGCTGGGACCAAAGTAACAAAGCCTACCATCAGTAACACACTACGCCGCCAGGGACTCAAATCCTGCAGTGTCAGACGCAGTGGCAGCTCCTGAAAAAATTCTCAGGAGGGGCAATTTTTCTGATGATTTAGGTGACCTACACACATTTTAAAAAAGATATGTCCAGCAACAACATGAAGACAGGGGCAGCATATAAGTCAATACCAGAAGCATTTATTGACTGATCTGGGGAGATGGATTCCAGTTTCTGTGACAGATTATAAATAATCTCTGATGCCTTTGTTATATTAGCTTTTGGTTGAATGTACTGTCGTAGTAAATAATAATGTTATAGCTTGGTCTGACTAAAATCTTGTGCATGACCCATTTTGTGTTGGGCGTTTGTTTTCAATCAATGCTGTTCCTATCCTATAACAATGGACAAAAGAGTCCTATCTTGTCAGCCTTGTCAGCAGGTGGCCAAGGACAACACCCACGCCATAGGTCTCTCAGTTCTTCCAACTCACGAGTTCTTGCTCTGAGGACACACACACACACACACACACACATCATCACTGATAACACACACACACACACACATCATCACTGTTAAACACACACACACACACACACAAAAATCCCCTCTCTTTAGGCTGAACATTTGAAGACAGCGAACCCGACTCAGAGCCAATGCAACAGTGGAGGGGACCTCGCCCAACTCATCAGGACCAATCAGAAGATCAGAACTACTAGATTCAACCTACATCATTTATTGTATAAAATGTCTGCACACAATGTTTTCGGGGCTCTCTTCAGATAGCTCCCTAAGAGTTTGACGAACGAGTCCGTGCACGCGATTCCAGATATCTTTACCTCTGAATAAACTGCCTTTATTATACCATATCCACCCTGTCCAAAGTCTCTACTTGGTCTCAGTTCTCCAGTAAACTTGTGATTATCAACAGTACACAACGGTAACAAACAATTGGGGGAACTCACGGGGCAGATAGTAAGGTCGCAGTGACACAGAAAGCAGTTCAATGTCGGGGGTACAGAGTCGCTCTCTTACCAGGATCGCGGTCCGCTCTGACCAGGGTGAAGCCGGCCGGCTCCACTTCTCTGTCCGGGACTCTGTCATCCAGCCAAGTCTCCCAGCTGTATTGGATTCCGCTGCCAGCAGCGTTTTCATTATTTAGTCCGTTCGTAGCGGGTATGTACACGATCAACAAGATCAGTCCAAAACCCACCACTGGAAATCCATGGTTGGCAGAATGTTTGTAAACTAAGTCTACAAATTAAAAACATAAAATAACGCCACTAAGTGTACAAATTAAAAACATAAGATAACGCCACACTGCAGGTCGCAACAGAGACGCTGCTAGCCGCTATTTTCTTAGTTACGTTCATGGTTACGTCACGTATGACGAAAGCGCGTAAGTGCAAGCCCACAGACACCCATAGAGATTGTATTGAAAGCTTTGAAATTTGAAAAAAATAGATTTTACATGACAGGCTATGAGAGACTTCAGGGCGATTTTCAACCTGACTGAAATCGCCCCAAAAACGGGCGGGGCCATTTGAAGCACGACTTTAGCCTGATTTGACATTTAGTGGCAGTCAGATCAGATTAGAACACTGATAACTACTGTTGCCGTGATATAATTGATTAGAAAAAAAATCCCTTCCTTTTCCCGTTTGGCAGTGCGTCGCCCATATCGCCCTATTGAACAGGCCGTCCCTGGTCAGACGTGTCCCCCTGCTTAAGCCAGTACATGTCCAGGCCCGTCTGAAGTTTGCTAGAGTGCATTTGGATGATCCAGAAGAGGATTGGGAGAATGTCATATGGTCAGATGAAACCAAAATAGAACTTTTTGGTAAAAACTCAACTCGTCGTGTTTGGAGGACAAAGAATGCTGAGTTGCATCCAAAGAACACCATACCTACTGTGAAGCATGGGGGTGGAAACATCATGCTTTGGGGCTGTTTTTCTGCAAAGGGACCAGGACGACTGATCCGTGTAAAGGAAATAATGAATGGGGCCATGTATCGTGAGATTTTGAGTGAAAACCTCCTTCCATCAGCAAGGGCATTGAAGATGAAACGTGGCTGGGTCTTTCAGCATGACAATGATCCCAAACACACCGCCCGGGCAATGAGGAGTGGCTTCGTAAGAAGCATTTCAAGGTCCTGGAGTGGCCTAGCCAGTCTCCAGATTTCAACCCCATAGAACATCTTTGGAGGGAGTTGAAAGTCTGTGTTGCCCAACGACAGCCCCAAAACATCACTGCTCTAGAGGAGATCTGCATGGAGGAATGGGCCAAAATACCAGCAACAGTGTGTGAAAACCTTGTGAAGACTTACAGAAAACGTTTGACCTGTGTCATTGCCAACAAAGGGTATATAACAAAGTATTGAGAAACGTTTGTTATTGACCAAATACTTATTTTCCACCATAATTTGCAAATAAATTCATTAAAAATCCTACAATGTGATTTTTTTTCTTCTCAATTTGGCTGTCATAGTTGACGTGTACCTATGATGAAAATTACAGGCCTCTCTCATCTTTTTAAGTGGGAGAACTTGCACAATTGGTGGCTGACTAAATACTTTTTTTCCCCCACTGTATGTAGCTTGTTTTTGGTCACAGGTTCAGGAATGGCTGAAGAATTACAACATTTACCTGAAGCTAACTCTGCAAATAGCATTGCTGGGTGATTTGAAAAGTCATAGTCAATCGATCAATAATATAATACTCTTAGCAAAACATTTTATCATTAATTTACAATCTGTAGAAACAATGAGAATAGAAAGGTTCAGGACGTTTGTGAAACATCACAGCACAGTTGAAAAATATATGGCAGCTAGAAATCAAAACTGGATGTTTCATCAGAGGTACATCAAATCCAATTTTATTGGTCACATACACATATTTAGCAGATGCTATTGCGGGTGTAGCGAAATCCTGAAGGATGGGACTAAAAATAACAAAAAAACAAGATAACTAATGTTAAAATATACTGTGTCCGTAAAATGTATATAGTATGTATAAGCTGGAAGTAGAAGCCTAAGTATTGTTGTCCATTAGTTTAGTCCAATTAGGGGAGGGTTAGAGGAAGATAATAAATGAGAAAAATAAAATATATATTTACCAATAAATATATGGGGGATTGGAAATGATGCAGACAATTACATTGATAGAAGCCACAATATATCTGCAATATTAAAGCTGATCTACCCACCCCAAAAAAAATTGGATGGACTATGTACAAAAAGTGCTGTAATGTCTAAACGGTTCACCCGATATGGATGAAAATACCCTCAAATTAAAGCTGACAGTCTGTACTTAGCTCATAGTCATTGTATCATTTCAAATCCAGTGCTGGAGTACAGAGCCAAAACAACAAAACATGTGTCACTGTGCCAATATTTCTGGAGCTTACTGTATTTGCCTCAAATCTAGGGTTAATGGTGGTAACATTCAAAACGTATTACATGGCCTCCTTTTAAAGCATACAGTCTGAGTACAGAAGCCTTACCAGTCCCACAGAGGTAAAGGCGGCTACTACGTTGATCAGAGTAGGAACTGTGTTGAACTTCCCCGCCTGAAAGGACAGAGACAGATGAATTCCATATGATACACAGATAACAGGTACGAAAGCGCGCACACACACACACACACACACCCCCTAATCCACACTCACGAGGCCAGTGACCAGGATATCAAAGCGGATGGCGTAGGCCTTGTGGAGAGTGCTGAACTCTGTCCCATTCTCATTTTTGTCATATTTGGCAAATCTGTGGATGGAGATAGAGGGGGAGACAGTGTCAATGAACACAGCAATAAAACAAGGAAGAGGGGGGGGTAAGGAAATTGGAGAGGAGAAAGGGGGGGTGGAAAATGACCTGAAAGAAGAAGGGGAGAAGGAGGAAGAAAGGGGGATTCCCTTGAATGGTACTAAACTGAAAGGGGTTTCAGTACTTGAAGTTGTATCCCTTAGCGATGCCGTTCTTCTGAAACACATCGTCACGTAAAGGAGTAGTGTGGTTCACATCTCTCTTCTGACACATCCAGATTACACTGCCATTCAATGTTGATCGCAATCTCTCCACCCTGATAGAGGGAGATAGAGGGAGTGAAGAGAAGGGTGGATAGGTGAGGAGGGGGAAGAGGAAATGTAAAGAGAAGCATGTGGGACTGGAGATATATAAAATGGAGAGGGGAAGAGAGGTTGAGAAACCAGAATGAGAGAGAGGGGGAGAGTAGAGGAAAGAAATTGATGGAGATATAGGAGAGGATGAGGGGGAAGAGGGGAGGAGATAGGTCTCACTGTCTGAGCGATGGTGGAGAACTTCTGTCCTGTGTAGCGCAGCACTTCTCCCACCTTGAAGATGGGTCAGTGGCGGTTGTGCTCCAGGTCATATGTAGAGCTCCTGATATACGTTGCATTCAGGGATGACGGGAAGTTCCCTCTGTGGGGGAGAGAGGGAGAGGGAGGGAGAGGGAAGGTAAAAACGAGAGTGATAGTGCCAAATCTCCTTCAGCAGAAAAGAGAGAGCAACGAGTTGACAGGAAAGTGGGAGGGAGACCATAGGAAAGTAGGGGTGCTGGGGGTGCAAGGGGAGAGGGAAAAAATGGGATATTTAAAAATTAAATTAATATTCAAACTGTAGGCTACAACCAATCATTGACAATGCACTACCGCGAGGTTGAACATTTCCGGTTCATTCCTTCCTGTAGGCTAGCAGTTAGCATTTACAAGATCAAGGTCAATCAAAATCAAAATGTCTCCGAATTCTTTTTCAGATATATTCGTTTCCCATTTAACAACTAATGTTTTGCACAAAGTAAATCACCTCACACACTGGAAATCTACAATGGATTCACAAAAGTCTACCTACTGAGAATGCGTAAATGTCCAAACTGTAAATGAAAGCAAACTCGGACTTTACAAGAGGCAGTTGAGAATTCTACCACGAAATCAAACACAGATTTCTACCTCTGGGGATTGCATAATTGTCGACGATCCATGTTCGAAAGCTGTTGCATTGGACTGGAATCGAACCCAGGCCTCCCGATTTTACGTTTTGTTACATTAGCGGTTTTAGCTACGTCAGACACACAACAGCTTCTAATTCGTAAGGACTGCCAAAGGTAAGTCGTGTTTTTACATACAAAATATGAGTTCTTTATCATCGATTGTCTTTTTTTTTATTTGTCTTCGGATCTTTTAATAATGCAATAATAGTAAATACAGCGGATATTCAGAGTAATTTTGTTAGAACGTAATCTGAATGAAACGTGGACTTGTGGAAACTATACGTTTCTCATATATATTTGTAAGTATTATAGTATTATAGCGCGATCTAAATAAACAAGTATTCTATGTTTTCACGAATTATACAATGTGAATGCGTTCATAATAAGTCACTTAAATGATGTAGCTATTTCTGTATAGATATTACAGAATAGTCTGAAAGCTATAGTTCATAATAAAGTTAATTACAAGATTGTTAATTGTTAATTACTATTGCAAGTGTTGTCCAGTGTATATGTGGGGAGGGGTATTGGTTTGTCCAGATGAGGTTGTGTATATTTGGGGATTGGTTATAGATCTGTATAGTTGAAGGTTGTGTGTGTATATTATACATTGTACTGTATAATTAGTACATTAGCCTGAAAGGTATCATTAAAAATAATTAAATAATTAATTTTGTTTACTCTTTGCTTCATCATTTAGATTAACATGTCACACAGGCATTTCCAGAGATTGGTGGATCTCAAACAGCCGGGTGTGGTTTTGCCTGCAGTGTTTGACCCACTACTGATCACAGACTTGAACATGGCCTCTGTGAATGTGACGGGGAGCGCCAAATATCCAGCACTACAAGTCTCCAACAGTGGACACGGGAGAGAGGTTTGGACTCGAGTACGTTGAGCAAGGGTGCCGTGCTGTTCCTCTCGACTGGGAAAAGCACAGATCTCAGAAGAGGACAGACATGTCCGTATTCCTGACCCCTCTCCCTGTTGAGAAATGTCAACCCTCAGCAACACAGCTGCCGCCGACTGTCAGATTTCCTGATTCTGCAGCTCCTGCTACTGAGGCTTTAAAGAGAGAAAGCACTGAGGAGCCCCAGATGGACATAGGTAATTCAGAATAATACCACAAACATAGGCATATCTCTCTCACACTAACTCAGTCACACGCACCTAAATATGCTTGCAGACACATGCATTCTGCATAATTACTTTCACTGAAGAACTGTTCCTCTCTTTCAGATCTGCCCTGCACACCTCCACTGCCTATGACCGCCTCACCAAGAAGTGCACGCACGGGGCCTATCAAGACTGGTGGCCGGGTCTTTGTGTTGGACCACAATCGGTGGCCTGGCCCAATGAGGGTGGCTATTGATGGTCTGCTTGCCAGGCATCATGGACAGAAGGACATGCTGAAACTGGTGGACTTTGACTATGCTTCCATGGTGCAAAGTTCATGTGCAGACCCCAACAGCCTGCTTCACCCAACCACCAAACACCACATTGGAAGGTATATTAAACACCTGGCCAAATTAAAAAACACCAGTTCCTCCCTTAACACCAGTCCTGAAAAGCTCTTGGAGACCCAACAACTGTGGCAGCACTTAACCATGGGTAGTGACACAACCTGTGTCCCTGTAACAGCACTCCCACCTGCAGTTGTGAACCCACCCGCACTGCCCACACAAAATGCTCCTCTTACTGAAGCTGCCATAGAGAAAATTGTTTTGGGACTGATGGAAAAGCAGCAACAGTCAGAGCAACAACAGCAGCAAAAGAAAAAAATGACAAAAACCTGCCTTTCATGTGGCCAACCCAAGTCCCGTTACATGAATGATGGCTCCTCAATTCATTATTTTTATCAGAGTGGGCATGTTAGGTACTTCTACTGCTCCACAAAAGTATTTAAAACATATGGAGCAGAGGGCCTCACAAACCCCAAAATGTCTTTTGAGGATTTCATGTCAACACCCTTCTTTCAACAAGAACTTGAATCCATAAAACAGAAAGTGGAACAACAGAAGGACAAACAAAAGAGGAAGTCAGCAGATGTGGTACCCTCTGGCCGTTTGTGCAGGTTCTGCCATTTGGAACTAAAACAGGGCCCTAATAGTCCTCACATTCACACAGGGTTCCCCGGAGTGGCAGGGAAATATATTTATTGTCCTGCCAAGCTGTTCTCCCTCTACCAGGCCAAGGGTATGGAGAAAGAAATGACCTGGAAGGAGTTCCAGGCATCTGCTTTTTATCATGATGAAAAGAAAAGATGGATGGATGAAAAGAGGAAATGTTGATTTACACACACACACACGCATCCACACACACACACACACAAACAAACAAAATGGCCATAATCTTTTAATAAAACAATTTTGAAGTTCAATACAATTCTCTTGCCTTTAATTCATGTTTACATATTGAACATACTGTACATGAAGTCAGACAGGGTTGCTTATAATTACATTGTGGCACAAGGTACATGAAAAATCAACTGACAGAAAAGTTTGGTTTGTGTAACCCTAAATCTAAGTTAAGATTGGCAAGGAGGTCAAAGGCTGGTCTGTGCATTCAAGTCGACTGCAGGGCTGAAGAAGGTTTTTACCAGGTCATCGGATGAAGTACTTTTGTTTCCTCAACAGGTAGGGCTGATAAGTAAGAATAATCCACTGCAATCTTTAACTGAAGAGGAAAATCTTATGGTAGAATATGTGCAGTACATAAATGTGTTAATTATTTTGAAAGGTGTTATCTTTAAATTAATTTCACATCAGCATAAATGAATGAAGTAATTTGGTCTTTAAAATAACACTTTCACAAAAGCAGAAAATCCCATTACAAAATACTATTATTTTAATACACTGGATATAAACTAGTACACCTGAAATAAGATGGGGAATGTATAATATTTTGAATACATTTGGAGTATATTATCAATGTTCTGAAATATTATTCATCAATCATATGTTATCAGTATACAAAAATAGCAAGTAAAAGTGGGTCTATATTAAAACACTGAATTATACTTATACTAAATAGTATAGTAAATATAACTATTTAGTGTACAAAGGTACAATATAAACGTTCCAAGTAATACACTTCAAGTACACTGTGTTTTGGGCTTGGGAAAATACACTGCATGATCAAATAAAACCAATAGTGACAAAATCTAATTATAATCTATCATTCAATTCCCCAATACATGGGGAAAAAATATCAGAATACAGTTTCCTTGTTTAGAATTGAACCCCCAATAAAAGCGTTTCAAGAAAAAGGCAGCCTGAAAAAAATAAAAAGAGCCCTAAAGCGTTTCCCATTCATTCTCTATGGTAGTCCTAAACCACTACGGATGTAATATATTTTCGGCCACACACTGATTCAGTGGCGCTGTTTCGACAAAACGGCTGTTACAGCTATACGCGACTGGCCCCCGCGTGACAGGCGGGGATACTCACCACTATACTAACGAGGAGTAGGTGGTTTCATTTTGCCCCATTATAGTAAAAAACTATGGAGGTCCATAAGGCCTGTTGTTTTGAGAGCAGAGGAACAGAGGGGAAGAGCATCTTTATTCTATTTTTCCCTACTGTACTGTACCATACCATATTCATCGATTATGCATAAGTACAATACATTTGGTCCAGTTTTTCGCAAGTAGTCAATCAATTGTTGCTAGTGGTTGTACTAAATGATCCTCAAATTACACAAGCTGCTTTTGTTTACATTGTGAACCTAGCTAGGCAATGTAGCTAGCTCGCTAGTATTAGTAGCTTCTTGACTTCATAAATCTTAGTAAAATAACCAGAGGTGTCTAGTGGACACCATACGCAACCAAAATCAACTTTATTTCTCATTATTTCAATTCACAATATAGAATGAACGCGCGCGTCAGCCATCAAAAATGTAACCTCAGCGATTCTTGAGGTTGGGACGCTGCCATTGGATGTGACGCAACACGGGCAGCATAGCAGCTTTCATTGATTTCAAAGGAAGCATTCCCTCAACGGCTGATGTCTGACAGCAAAGCCGCACCCGCACGCCCGATGGTGTTGCGTAGCATGGCCATTAATGTGTTGGCTTCAGAGGAGGCTGGTGTGAGAGCTGTAGGAGGATGGGCTCATTGTAATGGCTGGAATGGAATAAATGGAAAGCTATCAAACACATATGGAAACCATGTTTGACGCCGTTCCATTTAATCAATTCCATCCATTACAATGAGCCTGTCCTCCTATAGCTCCTCCCACCAGCCTCCTTAGGGTAGGTTAAACAGAGCAAATGAAATGTGACCATACTTTATTACATATATCATCAATGATGCTATTTAGGCCTACAAAGCATTTGCAAAGTTATCAACAGCTATTGTTTCAATTCAACCCAGAATTCAACTATATTGAACAAGAAAAAAACAATTTTACTGAGTTACAGTTCATATACAGTCCCGTGTAGCTCAGTTGGTAGAGCATGAAACTTGCAACGCTAGAGTTGTGGGTTTGATTTCCACAGGGGACCAGTACGAATTAAAACGTATGCACTCACTACTGTAAGTCGCTCTGGTTAAGAGCGTCTGATAAATGACAATAAGGAAATCAGTCAATTCAAATAAATAAATTAGGCCCTAACCTATGGATTTCGCATGACTGGGCAGGGGCACAGCCATGGGAGGGCATAGGCCAGGCCCAGTCAATCAGAATGAGTTTTTACCTACAAAAGGGCTTTATTACAGACATAAATACTCCTCAGTTTAATCAGCTGTCCAGGTGGCTGGTCTCAGATGATCCCGCAGGTGAAGAAGCCAAATGTGGAGGTCCTGGGCTGGATTGGTCTGCGGTTGTGAGGCCAGTTGGACGTACTGCCAAATTCTCTAAAACGACATTGGAGGCGGTTTATGGTAGGGAAATTAACATTACATTCTCTGGCAACAGCTCTGGTGGACATTCCTGCAGTCAGCATGCAAATTGCATGCTCCCTCAACTTGAGACGTTGTGTAACAAAACTGTACATTTTAGAGTGGCCTTTTGTTGTACCCAGCACAAGGTGCACCTGTGTTTAATCCGCTTCTTGATATGCCACACCTGTCAGGTGTATGGAACATTTCTGGGATCTTTTATTTCAGCTCATGAAACATTGGACCAACACTACATGTTGGGTTTATATTTTTGTTCAGTATAAAAATAGACAATACATATAGGCCTAGGGTTTAAGCTCTAGTTGATTTAAAATGTAATGATATTTAGTGACATTGATTTTTGTTTGGTTGTCAATGTAACCAAATATCAACATTTGAAGGAGATGTATCTTCTGCTTAGTTCCATATGTGCCACTGTCTTAGTCTGGCTTTAAATCCAGTTGTTCTACAAATTAATAATTTATATATTGGATTCACTTATTTTTGGTTGAGTTGGAGAGGTGAATGCAACATAATTTGTTAACTTGTCGACAAGTTAATAGGCTATTTATTGTTCCAGTTTGTCTACAGATTAATAATTGATATGTTGGAATCACATCTCCATCTCAACCAAAAATATAAGTTCAGGAATAGGGCTAAATCAAATCAAACTTTATTTAAAGATTGATTTAGTCTTAATAATAATAATAATAATATGCCATTTAGCAGACGCTTTTATCCAAAGCGACTTACAGTCATGCGTGCATACATTTTTGTGTATGGGTGGTCCCGGGGATCGAACCCACTACCAGCTGAGCTACAGAGGACCACGGTCTTCTTTAACTTAGTACCCGATGGTCACTCTGACAGAGCTCCAGAGTTCCTCTGTGGAGATGGGAGAACCTACCAGAAGGACAACCATCTCTGCAGCACTCCACCAATCAGGCCTTTATGGTAGAGTGGGCAGAGAGAAGCCACTCCTCAGTAAAAGGCACATGACAGCCTGCTTGGAGTTTGCCAAAAGGCACCTAAAGGTCTCTCAGACCATGAGAAACAAGATTCTCTGGTCTGATGAACCCAAGATTGAACTCTCTGGCCTGAATGCCAAGCGTCACATCTGGAGGAAACCTTCCACCATCCCTACGGTGAAGTATAGTGGTGGCAGCATCATGCTGTGGGGATGTTTTTCAGCGGCAAGGACTGGGAGACTAGTCAGGATCGAGGCAAAGATAAACAGAGCGAAGTACAGAGATCCTTGATGAAAACCTGCTCCAGAGCGCTCAGGACCTCAGACTGGGGCGAAGGTTCACCTTCCAACAGGACAACGACCCTAAGCACACAGCCAAGACAATGCAGGAGTGGCTTCGGGACAAGTCTCTGAATGACCTTGAGTGGCCCAGAACAGATCAACATGTGAACAGTACTCTGCAGAACAGAACAACATGTGAACAGTACTCTGCAGAACAGAACAACGTGGACAGTACTCTGCAGAACAGAACAACGTGGACAGTACTCTGCAGAACCGAACAACATGTGGACAGTGCTCTGCAGAACAGGACAACGTGGACAGTGCTCTGCAGAACAGAACAACATGTGGACAATACTCTGCAGAACAGAACAACATGTGGACAATACTCTGCAGAACAGAACAACATGTGGACAGTACTCTGCAGAACAGAACAACATGTGAACAGTACTCTGCAGAACAGTAAACACAGAATAGTAGACGCCTTTGAGAGATCAAAACAAACTACATGACATATCACTATGGGTCTAATGATAATGGCTATTATAGTCATGCTTAGAGTCATCCACAGTGTGTTAATGCAATAATTTCAACAGTTGTGTTTGCCACGTGTGTAGTGTCTAGAGACCGAGCTGGAAGATAGCATCTCTTCTTTTCTTAAGTGGTTCCATTCAATTTAAGCATGATGGAGGCCACTGTGTTCTTGGGGACCTTCAATGCTGCAAAAAAAATGTGGTACCCTTCAAGTTGTACAAACATCTCAAGGATGATCAATGGAAACAGGATGCACCGGAGCTCAATTTCGAGTGTCATAGCAAAGGGTCTGTAAAGTGTGTTTTAATTATTTAAATGTGCACCAAAAAAAATTACCTATTTCACTTTGTCATTACGGGGTATTGTGTGTTGATTGCTGAGGATTTTTATTTATTTAATCAATTTTAGAATAAGGCTGTAACGTAACAAAATGTGGAAAAAGTCAAGGGTTCTGCATACTTTCTGAAGGCATTGGATCGCCCAGTACAGCCGCTAATGCCAAACTATCTACAGCAAACTTAATTAAGAGCCAGTTAATACAAAACATGAAAAAGGTGTCTTTTTGGAAGTGTGTACTGCTATTATCGTTTGTGTAAATGAGGGTGTGTTAATGCTGTCCTCTTCTGTCTCCTTTTGATGTTCCATCTGATGTGGTTGCTAACCTCACAACATGTTATAGCCGTGTGTGTGTGTGAGGGAGGGTTTGTGGTCTTGAGGGTCTTTTCAGGGTATAGAGACCAGTCTCTAGGGGTTTAAATCTCATTCCACTACCAGATAGTCCTCCACTCATAAAATACATGAATCCTCCCACCTGGCTCCATCCCAATCCTCCCAAATGCCGCCCCTCCCCCATCTCATTACCTTTAATTTCCTCAAGCGCCCACAAACAATCACTCAGATTTTATTTAAAAAGATGTATTCTTTCACTTTGAAAAAGACAAACTTGACATGGCAAATAAACAAAAATGCACAGAATTGCAGTTCTTCATTTCTCTAAACAGTTCAAAATGACTATAAAAAAAAAGACTGAAGACCCCTCTGCATGTCTCAGTGCTATTAAACTACAACCATCCCCATGGGGCGAATAGAATAGAACCCAGTAGAATCATGGGTAATGTGGTACATAATATGCTGTTAGATAGATTGGACTTAGTCTGTTGAGAAACCCTCTATTTAGCATCAGGAAAACAAATAGTTTGTCAGCACAGCAAGAGGTATTCATTTCTGAGAATGTGTGGGACATCAGAGTGGAAGTACAAATTCTTGGTCCATTTAACGCTTAGTGTGTGTGTATGATATGATCTGCGTGTCTTCGTGCACCGGTCACTGAGTAAACTTGTCCAAATGTTCCCCGTTCGTTGTGATGTCATCAGCAGGTCCAGCAAGGCTCCTCCCCCTCTCCTCAGTCAGAGTCCTCTTCGGAGCTGGGGGGTGTGGTCATCGCTTCCTCTTCTTCCTCATCAGACTCCTGAGACAGACAGACAGACGGACAGAGAGAGAGATATTCTTCACTATGATAATCCCATCAATTCATCCTATTGTTGCCATAGTGACAGTGCAGTACCTTGCCCTTCCTCTGGGGTTTGCCTTTGGCTTTCTTGGCCTTCTTGGCTTTCTTGCGTTCACCGTCAGACGAACTCTCCTCGCTGGAGATAAACTCTCGGCTCTTAAAACTGTCGTTCCCTCCTTGCTCCTTTTCCTTCTCTACTCCACCAGACTTCCTCTTCTTGTCCTCCTTCTTGCCTCCCGCCTTCTTCTTGCTCTCCCTGATGGAGTGAAACGCAAAAGCATGGTCAACATGGTCATACATTTGAGGTTGTTTTTGTGTTTAAAACAGTGTGTGTCAGAGAGCTTCTAAGTGCACCTGGTAGTGTGTGTGTGTGGTCTCTTACCTCTTGGCGGGTGTGGAGGAGCCTCCACCATTCTCTCTGTATTCCTTCATGGCTTTCTCATAGTTCTTCTTAGCCTCGTCTGCCTTCCCATCCCACTCCTAGCAGAGAGAGACCTTTTGTTATCAATCTGTTCTCCTAAATAATGGTTTAAATACAGAATTACAGTTAGCTAGGGTGACAATTATTTTATTCAAAATGCCCAAACAGAAAAATGGGAGAGAGAAGAGCAGAATAGAGGAAAAAGAGAAACTGGGAGAGCAAAGAGAAAGCTCTCCCCCTCCCTCACCTCTTTGTCGTCCTTCCCTATCTGTTTCCACATCTCTCCTGCCTTCTTGGAGATCTCTGTGATGGAGATTCCGGGGTTTTCCGACTTGATGCGCTCGCGGCTGGAGTTGAGCCACAGCATGTAGGAACTCATCGGCCTCTTGGGGGCGTTAGTGTCCTTCTGCTTCTTCTAAAAGACAGAGAGACCGAGCAAGAGAAACATGAGCACTCACCCACACACATATCACCCACACACATATCACCCACACACATATCACCCACACACATATCACCCACACACATATCACCCACACACATATCACCTGCATAAATACATTAACTATGCAATTGCTGCCATAGGTCAATATGAAGGTATATTTTTCTCTGATACAATAAACTTAGATATTACTGTTCATGACTCCCTCCACATCCATTCCCCCCTTCTTTCTCGCACCTCCTCTTTCCTCTTCTAGTTTACTCCTAATCCCTCTCCTCTCTCTCACCTCTTTACGTGGTTTCCTCTCCTTCGTCTCTTTCACTACTTTGGCCTTCTTTGCAGGTTTCTTCTTCTTTCCCTCCTCATCGCTGCCATCCCCCCCGCTGCCGCTGTCACTCTCCGACGCGTTACTGTCATACCTGAGGGAGAGACAAGGGAGGAATACTGTTAAACAGAGAGGGGTGGGGGTGGGGGGGGGGGACGAAATAGGCAATGGGAGAATGAGTGAGGGATGATTGGTAAAAACTCACTCCTCAGCGACATCACTCTCCTCTCCAGGGTTGAAAGACTCATCTAGTAAAAAGAGAGAAGAAAATCACTAACACAGCTCTCTCCCAAACCTGCTGCTCTCTTGGACATGGACACAACAAGCTCACAACAGCCAGACCTATGACGTTTTTACATTTCTTCATGTATGAATGAGTCCCATTAAGATCTCTTATTAGGGAGGCCCTGATTGACTGTGGGAGCTGTCACTCAGCGGTCTAGCCACCCTAATGGTTGCAGGAGCTGGCACATAGCGGTCTGGACACCCTATCGGCTGTGGGAGCTGTCACTTAGCGATCTGGCCACCCTATTGGCTGCAGCAGCTGTCACTCACCGGTCTCTTCGTCTGAGTCGTTGCTGCCGTCTCCCTCCTCTCTGATCTTGCCCTCGGCTTTCATCCTCTCCAGGTAGGCATCGTGCTGGTCGTCGTCTGAGTCACTGTACTCGTTGTTCTTTGCCTTCATGCCATGTCGGGGGGCAGCAGAGAGTCAGACTACACTACCCATGATGCTCCAACAAGGCCCTGTATCTCTTCCTATGGACAGCAGTTTACTGTACAGAAGGGGCTGTGTTCCAACAGTTTACAATGGCTTCCTTTCCTTACCTCCTTACCTTTAGGACTACTGCTGGGAATGCAGAGACTAGGGGAGAATCTCATTGCATTTCCTTGATTCATCGCGTCCTTAAAACCCATTGGATGAGAAGGTCAAAGACCTCTGACCTTCTCATCTAATGGGTTTTGAGGAGGAGGCTAGGAGAGAGGACGCGAGGAATCAAGGAAATGCAATGAGATTCTGCCTAAGTTAAAAGCTAAGAAGCTAGACCAACAGGAGGAAGTGGCGAACAGGATCCTTTGTAGTTCTTGACCATTCAGGTGACCTCAAGGTAATAGTTTGTTGCCATGGCAACTACCACCAAGGGGCAACAGAGTGGGCTGTTTATATTACCAGAGAGCATTCTGGGAGAAAAATCAGGACTTCCTGTATTTGGTTTAGAGGATGTGTTTCGTCTTTCAGTTAACACACTGCAACACCTTGGGCAATACATTAGTCAAGACAATACAGGCAACCCCCCCTAACCCCACACACAGCATGTTTTACTATCCTTGTGGGGACCTAAAATTGATTTCCATTCAAAATCCTATTTTCCCTAACTCCTAACCCTAATTGTAACCCTAACCCCTAAGCCTAAAATAGCCTTTGTCCTTTACTATCGTTGGAGACTTTTGGGGATTTCCGGTCCCCACAAAGATAGAACAAGACCACACACACCTCTCTCTTTCTCACACACTCTCCAAAACACATCTGTAGATGTTTTTCACACAAAAATGTGGATAATCATAATCAGTAATCATATACCGATTAGTAAATCATTAATGGTTCTTCACAGCAATCAACCACCATGATTAGAATTATAGCACACTCCCCCCCCCCAACACCCACAGACACGCCCCCCCAACACACACATACAGACACGCCCCCCCCCAACACACACATACAGACACCCCCCCCCCCCCCCCAACACACACACCATGCGAGCAGTAATCGCTCCAAACCAAAAATCAAGCCAACACTCCCAAACCCCCGTAACCATACCAACCTTCTTCTTCAGGGGTACACAACAGACAGACAAGAAGAGAGTGACATCATCAATATTTATAAACACATCATTTATCTTGGAGAGGAGTCGAATGTATTTCCACCACAGTAAACATCTCCTAAAGGTTACCTCCTTGAATCCTCTGTTCTTGATGTCGAGTTTCTTGGCGTTTACAAAGTCAAACAGCTTCCCGTACTCTTCTCTGTGATGGAGAGAGAAAAAACCCAGAAACCATGACTTAGGCAAAGAATCAATACGGTTGCGGGTGTTTCTAAGTCCCCTCCATACCTCTCTATGCTGCTGAAGGTAAACTGGTTGCCCTGCTTGGTCTCCACCTCGAAGTCGAAGGAGCGCGTTGTGGTGGTGCCTCTGGCGAAGTTGACACAGGAGATCTCCTCGAAGCGCAGGTGCACGGGGGGCTTGTGCACGTAGATGAAACCCCTCTCCAGGGGGTAGAGCAGGCCTGACTGCGCCTTGTAGGAACATGTTATACACTGGGCCCCAGGGGTGTTACTACAGGGGAGAGGAGGGGAGGGAGACTCAATTATTATGAAATACATAACACAGTGTTTCATGATAATGTGTTTATACTGTAATGCCTCTAAAGGAACAGTGTACAGCACCACAAGAGGAACATTGGTGCATATTTGCAAGTGATTCTGCATGCGTGAATTGGTGATCGTGTGTGTGTGTTGGTGATCGTGTGTGTGTTGTGCGTGAATGTGTTGGTGATTGTGTGTTTACCCCTGGAAGTTTCCGGGCACGGTGATCTTCCTGTTGACCAGAGCTTTCATCACCCTACTGACCATCTCATAGAGAGAACCTGACATGTTCTTACTGAGTTTCCCTTCATAACGCTTCTCCACCTCCTCCCTATGGAGAGAGAGGGGCAAGAGAGGGATGGTAGAGGGAGAAAGAACGGGGGAGAGGGGCCCAACGAGAGAGAGGAGAGGGAAACAGAAATTGTATTAAGGGATTCTTGACACCCAACAATACGAGTTCATTCTTCCTCTCCCATGTGGTGTTGAGCTGCTGTCCTTTCTTTCTCCCACTCACTCGCTCATGTTGAGGGTGAGGTGGAGCTCCTCCTCCTTAGAGAAGTGCAGGATGAGGAAGTGGTAACGCGTCTGTCCCTGCTTGATGGGCGGGTCCAGACTGATCTACAGACAGAGGGAGGGGGAGAAGAAGAGCGGGAGAGAGAGGGAGAATAAGACATAATGATTATGAATCGAAGACAATGGCAAAGGGTTTGAAGTGAGAATGATTACAGTGTAAATGCATTGTCCACACGTTTGGTGCCAAACACCAACTTAATACAATCTACACTCGACTGTCAACCACTCACCTCAATCAAAACACACACACACTTACCACAAAGAACATCTGCCTCTGGTCCTTGCTTGGTAACAGGAAGAGACGCAGCACGGTAGTGTAGGGGATCTTGTAGTCAAAAGTCTTACCATGGAGGTGGAGGAAGGCAGGGTAGATAAGGATATCATACCTGACACACAGAGGGAGAAGAACGTGGGTGAACAAGGGCAAGAAAGAGAGGAAGACCTTCCTTCAAAGTAGGTGTTTGTCTAGTATGTGGTAGGTTTTCGTTGGAAGGGGGGGGCTAGTGTTAAGCCAAGTGAACAATGTTGATCAATCTGATAAATAGAGAGTAATGTTCAACAAAACAATGATGGCTAATACTGATGAATAGTGGTTCATGGTGCTGATGCCACAGTACCTGCCCCTGGGTGTGAGGCACTGCAGCTCTTTGAAGACACACACAGCATCTCCTGTAGCCTGGATCACATCTGCCTTAGACCGCACGTTCTGGGCAAACGCCTGACAGGGAGGGAAGGAAACAGGGTTAAAACAGGAATAACATCAATCACTGCATCAATGATCTTTGTGTGAAAATGAACTGTTTCTGAGTATAGGGACATCTGTAGTGGTAGCGCCATCTGCTGGGGAGAAGTCAGTAAGGCACTGACGATCACACAGGACAGAGTGATTGGTTAGTGGTTGTTAGTTCTATCTCCGGTACAGGTCCGGTAGTACAGCGTGGGTTACCTCCACGGGGTCTGCCCCCTCGTCTGCGGTGCCAGGGGGGACGTAGAAGCGGACCTCCATAAGAGAGACCTCAGCGTCATCGTTCTGGTGGAACTCCAGCGTCACCTCGTTCTTTCCTGTGGCACACTGGGACACGCTGGCCAGGGGGATCTCAAACACTGAGCTGTCATTCACGTCAAACGACAACAATGGACCTGTGGAGGGAGGGGAAAGGGGGGGGTTCAAGACTACAGCTCCCATAATGCACCACAACATAGCTGGAGGAACGCTACAATGGGCTTAGTAAGAGAGATCCAGAGATGAAAAAGGTTGTTTTCTAAATGTCCCAGCCATCCAAGAAGTATTTTTAGAGTGATTAGACCCACTGCTGGTGATGTGTGATGGGTGTTTAGTGAGATTTAGTGGGTGTTTTACCAGAGAATTTAGCAGTGCCCCAGTTCCAGCCCTTCACACACATGTCCTTCTCTGTCAGCTCCACCTTGTAGTTGGCCTTGAAGAACTCTGAGATCCTCTCATAATCCTGCAGAGAGAAAGGGTGGAGAGGAGGGAGGAGTGGAGGGAAAGAAGAGGAGTGGGGGAGTGGAGAGAGGAGTGGGAAGTGGAGGGGGAGAGGGGAGTGGAGAGAGGTAGATGGGGGTGGAGTGGAGGGAGATGAGGGGGGGAGTGGAGGGAGATGAGGGGGGAGAGGAGGGAGATGAGGGGGGGGAGTGGAGGGAGATGATGGGGGGAGTGGAGGGGATGAGGGGGGAAGTGGAGGGAGGATGGGGGGGGGGGGTGGAGGGAGGGAGTGGAGGGAGTAGGGGGAGTGGAGGGGAGGAGTGGAGGGAGGGAGAGGAGGGAGGGAGATGGCAGGGGGGAGTGGAGGGAGGTCAGGGGGGGGAGTGGAGGGAGGTGGGGGGGTGGGAGGGGGAGGGAGAGGGGGGGGGAGTGGAGGGAGGTGGGGAGGGAGTGGAGGGGGGTGAGGGGGGGAGGTGGAGGGGGAAGTGGAGGGAGGGAGAGTGAGGGAGGGAGGTGAGGGGGGGAGATGGGGAGGGAGTGGAGGGGGGAGTGGAGGGAGGGAGTGGAGGGGGGAGTGGAGGGAGATGAGGGGGGGGAGTGGAGAGGTGATGGGGGGGGGGTGGAGGGAGATGAGGGGGGGAGTGGAGGGAGATGAGGGGGGGAGTGGAGGGAGTGAGGGGGGGGGGAGGGAGGGAGATGAGGGGGGAGTGGAGGGAGATGAGGGGGGCAGTGGAGGGAGATGAGGGGGGCAGTGGAGGGAGATGGGGAGGGAGTGGGGGGGAGTGGAGGAGTGAGGGGGGTGAGTGGAGGGAGGATGAGGGGGGAGGGGAGTGGAGGGAGATGAGGGGGGAGTGGAGGGAGGAGATGAGAGGGAGGAGAGGGGGAGTGAGGGGGTGAGGGGGGAGTGGAGGGAGGTGAGGGGGGAGTGGAGGGAGGTGGAGGGGGTGAGGGAGGGAGGTGAGGGTGGGAATGGAGGAGATGAGGGGGGGAGTGGGGGAGATGAGGGGGGGAGTGGAGGGAGGATGAGGGGGGGAGTGGAGGGAGATGAGGAGGGGGGGAGTGGAGGGAGATGAGGAGGGGGGGTGGTGGAGGGAGATGAGGGGGGGGTGGAGGGAGATGAGGGGGGGGGTGGAGGGAGATGAGGGGGGGTGGAGGGAGATGAGGGGGGGGGTGGAGGGAGATGAGGGGGGGGAGTGGAGGGAGATGAGGGGGGGGGTGGAGGGAGATGAGGGGGGAGTGGAGGGAGATGAGGGGGGAGTGGGGGAGATGAGGGGGGGGGGTGGAGGGAGATGGGGGAATGGAGGGGAGTGGAGGGAGATGAGGGGGGGGAGTGGAGGGAGATGAGGGGGGAGTGGAGGGAGAGCAAAATAGAAAAACAGAGGAAAGATGTTCTCAGTTAAATCCTTACTGCCCCCACTATTCAACAGTGAAAAACAAAGAAACATCCCCTCTTTCCTTCCCCTTGATGAGGAGGCTAACTAATCAAAGCTCAATCCGGACGCTCTCTCCCTCTCCGCCGCTTACAATCAGGCTGTTTATTTATCCTGCAGGCCCGATTAGAGCTGGGGCACACAGACGCCGCAATCACTTCCACATGTGTGTGAAGGACAGAGTGCATGTGTGTGTTTTTGAGAGAAGGAGAACGTGTGGGAAAGAGAGTTTCTGCACCTGGGTATCAGCTTGTCTGTTAGTTCAGGGGTTTTCAAACTTTTCCACATATTAAAATGAATTTATTTGGTATACCAATTAAGTTGAGAGAAACGTTTGCAGTTTTAAAGTAAATTTCATGCAATTCTATGCATTTTGCCATGGCTAACGCTGTGTTCCTCTGCTCAAACGTTAGAACAAAATAAATGGGCATGTACCCTGAATGCACAGTTTTGGGATTTATAAAATGTTTTCCTGACTATTAGTTCTAAAAGATGGTTTAAAAATGAAGTTAAATATCTTTTCTGCATGCTTTCTATCTGGTTTTGGTCATTTAACCCTTAACACGCCTACCTGTATACGGGTTGAACATGGCCAATTTGGGCACTGATAAACACCTCAATTGGAACACAGTGGCTGTACAGTAACATGCTCTCCATGACATCAGAGCTCTGGCTCTGCGCTTCACAGCGCTGTATGGGTTTTGACTGACAGCCATTCTGTACTTGAGCACCTCGTGGGACAAGACGTTGCCCCCATCCCTCCCACTAATTTGGCAACTTTTGCAATGCTGTAAATTAAGAGGACAATGTATTTTGTAAGATGATATGTTGAGGATTATAATAAATACTGCTTTGATGTCATACAAGCAAGCCAAACACCTGTGAGTCCATATGTGCACTTCACATTTCCATATCATAAAACTCATGTCATATACAGGGTCAACGTTTATGATCACTATGTTTGATGTACAGTTACAAGATGACATGGCGTCATAACCTGGGTTGTTCTGAACAGAATGAGCCTATTTGTCTATTGAAGAAAAGTTGCTACGGCACACGCACCTGAATGCACTCAAGGCTCCTTAGGCCTTTCTATGTGCACCAAAATGATTATCGGTATCCCTTTAATCACTACAAGTGTGCTTGCTCTAGTTCTTCAACGGCACAGCTAGGAGAGCTTATTTGAGTCACAGAAGTGCATTGAAATGACTTAGGAACTGTGCACACTTTGGAGAGGTGTGTGGCCACTTGGAGACACCAGTTAGTTATCTCACTCAAACCATTGTCATTTTGTAGTCTTTTGTTGCACCTACCTTACATTTGGAATGTATCCAGAGTATTTTCAACGGCAAAGTACAATACATTTAAAATCCACATAAAATCAATCAATTCAATCTTGTGTCAGCTGAACTGTTGTGTCCTCATGTTTGGTCTAATAATTTTCTCTGTTCCCTTTCAATTGCTACCATGGTTATGAATATGTTTTCATATTTATTTTTGTCCAATTAGGGCTGATACCAGTATCGCAATATGTTTTCCATGGCAAAAATGAAAACACAAAGCAGACCAAACTCTTTGGTCCTTTAAACACCTGTTGTATGTAAATTATAGTGTGCTTTAGCATGGAAAATAAATAAATGAGACTCTGGGTGACAACATGATTTGGGCTGTTTTCCTAAATTAGTTAAATCCGCTTGGTTTCCTTGCCATGATACTAATGAGTATCGCAATACTGGTATCGTTCTGGCCCTACTATCCATATAAAAGGGTTAAATTGACACAAACTGTTTTTCTATCCTAAAAATGTGCACTCAGACGGCCCGCTTAAGAACTTTCTATACAGAAAACCCCCTGTAATTAGCTCAAATTACTAATTTCCTCCATATTAAAGGGTTTGTTCGAGATTTTGGCAATGAAGCCATTTATCTACTTCCCTAGAGTCAGATGAACAGGAATAGCTAGCAGGCCAACTGTTCCTGTAGACTTCCAGTCATTGTGCTATCGCTAGTTAGCATTGCCATGTAAAACTCTAACTTCCGTCATACTGGACACAGAGACATACAAATGGTATTCGGTTGTAGCTAGAGATAATAATAAAAAATATATTTTAAAAACATCCTTTTCAAAATGCGGACCCCCTGCAGTACCTCGGACCCCAGTTTGAAAACCCGTGTTAGGTTATTCGAGTGTGAAAGCCCACAGCGTATGCGTGTTGGACAGAGAGAGAGAGAGAGAGAGAGAGAGAATATACGCCAGACTGTGTATGTATGCGTGTCCATCTGTGTGTGTATAGAACATCAGATCAGTGTGTTGACAGCATCTCTGCGCGTGTTTGTGAAGATGTATGAAGACATTGTGTTTGTGTGTGACAGCACGTGTATACAGATCTAAGTTTACATTATATAGTATATACACTGGATATAAATCTGTGTGTGTGTGTAATGAGTGGCCGATAACTGTGTAAAGATGTACATATCAATGTGTGTGTGCGGTGTGTTCCTGCTGTCCCCATCAGTCCCTATGTGTAGAGCTCCGTCTCTCATTACTGCTTTGGCAAGAGTGCTGTTGCTTACCTCACACAACCATAAAAATAACTCATCCCAGCCTCCCCGTCCTCTATCCACACACACACACAACGGTCCCAATTCTCCCTCCCTCCACCCCTTCCCTATCTGTTCCACTCCAACACCCCTAACTAATATGATGCCCTGTAACACAGATGCTGCTATGTGATCTTGACACCAGTGTCCTACGCATTAGAGGACACCGAGTTTTGCAACAGGAAACGAAAAACAAGCGTTTCCTATTGGACAGGATTGTCCTTCCCAGTGTGTAGGCCCCTTTGTTTAATTTATTTTTTTTAAATTGTGCCTAGTGAATAGACCCAGTTATGGCTAATACAGTCGAGTCCAGATCAGTGCAAAGCAAACTCAGAGTAAGTGCAGTGCGGTTTATAAGATGAACCAAATTAGTAAACAGATGACTCGTGATAAGTGGATTTCATATTTCAAAACTCGTCAGTGCACTTCACCAGTCCTAATTCAAATACATTATCTTTACTTGTTTAGGACAGACATTCAAAACATTGTATATACATGAGTAGGCTGAGGTGGTGTCTAACCAGTGAGGATATTAGGGCTGTCCAAGAGTCGTCTGTTCTTTCGACCAATCGATTGGTTGAAAATGTAAAACGTATATTTTCATATATAGACACATCCTATGTGTTTTAATCAAATGAATGATATGCACTGAGCTTGTCTGATGCTTTAAGCGCACTGTTTGATGAATGAATTAAGGAACACAAATAGAGGGAGTCCGACTGCAATCCTGTCGGGCTGTATCACCGCCTGGTACGGCAACTGCACCGCCCGCAACCGCAGGGCTCTCCAGAGGGTGGTGCGGTCTGCCCAACACATCATAAGGGGCACACTGCCTGCCCTCCAGGACACCTGCAGCACCCGATGTCACAGGAAAGCCAAAAAGATCATCAAGGACATCAACCACCCAAGCCACGGCCTGTTCAACCTGCTACCATCCAGAAGGAGAGGTCAGTACAGGTGGATCAAAGCTGGGACCGAGAGACTGAAAAACA